ATCTCGCTTGGATTCGAGGTGATGCTCATGATCCGGAGGATCTTTCGTGGAACAGAAAACCCCACAGGAATTCAATGAATCCCTGCTCCCCACACAGCGTGATTTGAGGGCCTTGCCTCGCACACTGAAACCCTTATAAAATAGTCACTGGTATGGGCACAGGAACAGCTCAGCTGGAACTGTATATGCTCCCATAGACATCAAAACCCAGGACACACCGACCACGAGCTCGAGCTAGTCAGTCTCCGAATAAGCCTCGGATCAGTTTGCATGTGCCATGTAGGATTATAAATTATAAGATTAACTTGGGGCTGAGTGGTTTAGGGCTTAAGGGCTTAAAGTAGGCTTGGTTTCGGATTGGGCTTGAAGCACACACACACACACAAACACACCCTCACTCTGCTATTGTAGATTAGGAGCCTGCTTTCCTGCCGCCTTTGCTTCCTCTTCTGTCTTTCCAGACTGCCGGGCTTCCTTAACAGCACGATGGTATGCTGCGGATTTCCGAGATCTCTCCGCTTTCTTGGCTGCTTCAGGATCAGCACTTGCATCCTTCTTGGCAGCAGCTTTGGTCTTGGCTTTGGCAGCCGCCTTTGGTGCCGGCACCGGATCATTCGGTTTGCGCTTCCTGCTGGGGGCACTGGGAACCGGGGCCTCCTCTTCCTCCTGCTTTGCTTGCTTCCCCTTCTTGCCTGATTTCAGCGCCTTCTCCTGTGGCTTGCTCTTTGCTTTTGGGTTCGCCTTTGCTTTGGCCTTTCCTTTGGGGCTCGCCTTTGCTTTGGCCTTTCCTTTGGGGCTCGCCTTCGCCTTGCTCTTCGCCTTCGCTTTTGCTGCGGATTTGGGCCCCTTGCCACGCGATACCTCTTCCTCTTCATCATGCTCCTCAGGTTCGGTGTCGTTGCCCGGCTCACCCTCCTCCTCTTCCTGATCCTCCTCTTCCTGATCCTCCTCTTCCTGGCGACGGCCTCGCCCACGGCCCGAACGGCCACGCCCACGGCCTGGCTTCGCTGCACGGCCGCGCCCGCGACCTCCTCGGCCCCTTCCCGCCGGCTTCACACCCAAGGCTGCTCGCTGCTCTGCAGGTGTTCTGGGGTTGTGGTCCATTTCGATTGGGCAGGCAGGCAATGCATGCTCATAAAAGACAGTGGCCTTGCTGGGGCTGGCAGCCTTTGCTGGATCCTCAGAGGCCTTGGAGGCTTCTAGATTCCCGCCCTTAACATCAAGCACCACATCCTCTTCTAGAACCTCCTCCTCCCCATCTTCATCACAATCAGAATACGGTGCAATTCTCAGTGACACACTGGAGGCCTTCTCAGCATTCCCCTCCGTAGCATCATCGACCTTTGCCACAGGCACCTCAAGCCTTTTGCATGTCCCCGGTAACTCTGCACCTACATCATCCTCTGCCGCCCGAGATGGCTCCATGCTGGGCTCTTCAAAGAACAGCTCCTGGGGCAGGGTGTCCAGCAAGTCCGGGCCTCCGATCGATGATTTTAGGACAGTCCCTAAGGCTTGACATCTCATGCGTTGTATCATGCAAATTAACACGTGGCACACAGCATTGCAACCAAGAAGCAAACCACACCCACGGGCTCCATGGTGATCATTGGGGCTTCTCCAGCTTCATGGGACTCTGCTTTGGCTGACTCCAGGATTGCTGCTGGGGCATTGACTTCATGGGACTCTGCTTTGGCTGACTCCAGGATTGCTGCTGGGGCATTGGCTTCACGGGACTCTGCTTTGGCTGACTCCAGGATTGCTGCTGGGGCATTGGCTTCACGGGACTCTGCTTTGGCTGACTCCGGGATTGCTGCTGGGGCATTGGCTTCACGGGGCTCTGCTTTGGCTGACTCCAGGATTGCTGCTGGGGCTTTTTTGGCTTCATGGGACTCTGCTTTGGCTGACTCCGGGATTGCTGTTGGGGCTTCTTTGGCTTCATAGGACTCTGCTTTGGTTGACTCCCCAAGGATCGCTGCTGGGTCCCACTCATCATTCATTTGGGTCACCTTTGGGATCTTGGTTCGGGCCTCTGAACCTTCATGTGCACGAGCTTCCGCGCTCCGTTTGCGATTCAGCAGCTCCTGTTCCTCAGCTTCCAAAGCAGACCGCCTCAGAGCCTGCTCCATTTGCTCCTCTTCCTCTTGCAGTGCCCTCTCAAACTGCTGTAGCTCCTGAAGCTGCATGAGCTCCTCCAACAAGGCCTGCTGCTTCTGCAAGGATGCTAACTCCTCCAGCATCCCTGCTTGGGCTGGGGTGACCTCTGACTCAGCTTCGGTTGGGGTCAGGGATCCCCGTGCTCGCACATCCCGGGGCGGGGACCCTGCTTTCGAGGGCCTACCACTTGACTTCGAAGCCGTTTCAAGGTGATCATCCAGAGGCTGCAGATCGGGCAGGGGGAAACATTTCCTGGCTTTCATTGCAGCGATGTCTTTGGAATGGTTTCCACATAGGACACACAGATAGCCATAGGAATGATCCTTTACCAGATAGTGCTGCTTGCGATGCTTTGCCTCACTTCTTGGGCTCAGTGGTTCTCTCCCTTGGATCAACTTTGAAAGGTTGAGGCTTCAGGGTAAAGGGCTTAGGGCTTATAGTTTATAGGGCTAGGGCTAGGGTATAGGGGAATTATATATAATGCTCATGATGCCATACAGTCACCACTTTCGAACTGCATGTAGCAACACATGTGACGTGTGATCTAGCATTGCCGCCTGGGTGCGAGGAGGTGGCGTCACGATCGCTGCCGATGAGGAGGATGCAGCAGAGCCTTTGCTCACAGCAGGGGCCACATGTGAGGCTTTGTGGGTTGATAGATAGCTTCCTGCTATACGTAAATTTCTATCAAGGGACCTGACTTGTGCTCACCCACCCTTTCCATTGTGGACAGGCTTGACTCAGCCTTAGTAATCATGCATCTAAAGCAAATCAGATTGCACACTTGAACACCCAAAGTGAACTTGAATGGGGCGGATAAAGTTGAACCAAGGTTCCAGTGCCAGAGGCTTCGGAGGGTTTGGGGCTGCATGATTTGTCAGCCTCTCCTGAGCTTATGATAGCCAGCAGAGTCTCACGACAACACAAAACCCCATGCAGGGTCTAGCTATGGGCAAGAGGCTTCCACAGGGTCCGAGGGGTTGGTGTCCACACGTGGTGCTGCCACCTTAGCTGCGGCGCTAGTGATCTACCTATAGGGGCTTCATATTGTATAGGGTTGAAGGTTAAAGCTTCTGCATGGGGGCTTAAAGGCCATGTTGTCAACCGAGGGACTGTGACCGGTGCTGGCAACTCCAGCACCTCATCATCCTCTTCCATTTCCGACTCCCCAGCCTCTCCTTCATCTTCTCCTGCATCAGACTCGTCATCTGCTTCATCCCCAACAGCTGAACCACCTCGGCTCATGTGCTTGATCATTCCATTAGAATAGCAAGCTCACATCATAGCCGGGATTTGAGCAAAGGAGCGGGAAGACGGGATGGGTATCCCTGAAGATTTAAACAGTCGACGAACCCCATCCTGGCGTGGCTCATGTGGCCGTTTGGCCAGCTGGGAAAAGCAGGTGATCAAACGTCGTGCCATCCAAGCTTGAACTTGGATTTCATGGCCTAGGGTGGGCAGGCAAGATGCACACTACCTAGCAGGCATTATCCCTACCTTACCATGTACTGCCTGAATCCAGGAATAATGTAGCTTGGTTGCTGGTTGGCATGCGAAGGTTCATGGGTCGAAAGCCCATAAAGAATCTTCGGAAGTATTCAGCGATGACATTGACTGATGGTCGCAGGCCTCGATCATACTTTACTAGGTTAACAAATCAGCAGATAGGGTCCATTACAAGAGCAACACATGCAGTATATAGTTTGAGGCAAGAATCCCACATGGTTGATCATCGGCCCAAGCAAATCCACATTCTCACCGAGATGATCACGTTTGATTTTTTTGGTGTCAGGAGGCAAATGTACCAACATGCCCTGCAGCAAACGGTTCATAACGGTTGGACTGCTTTTCCAGGCTTGAAGGACCACACATGGTTCCAGGGATTCAGAAGGCCCGGCAGCTGAGTCGGCCATGGTTTTCAAATCGCTACGAGCTTGCTAGGTCGATCAACTCCAATCTGCAAGAGATCACATCAATAGCCTGTATATGTATTTCCCAATGTACTGTAATGCTTATAAAAGCCCGTGCATGTATTGAACACTCGAAGCTTGAAGGTTCAACCAGTGACACCTTGAGCAGACACCATCGGAAAAGTTTCATATGTGAACACATGCAGACCAACTGCAATAAAAGCAGATGCAGGGCTAGCAGTCCTTCCGTCGAATCAAGTTCTCAAAGTCCACAGCCCCCATGCCAAGTACCTGGTGCTTGTCCAAGGAGCACTACATTGAGTTCTACGTCTTCAATGCACAGACATACACCAACATACACACACACGTGCACACCAAGGGGGGAGGCGCACTTCGAGCCATCGTAGTGGCTCATGGGGCTCATGTAGCATGTATATGTGATTGGGCATCGAGCCAGGGCTGGAAGTTGATCAACATAAGCTCTTTCAAACCTATGTAAGCCCTCAATCGATGATCTTAGCCCGTCCAAGACACTGTTTTGCAAAAGTGTGCGGATTCACATAAAAGCGCTCGACCCTGTAAAACCATACGGTTTAGAGGATAAGTATAACAAACCCACCCCGAGAGGAAATAAGTATTACGATTGAGGGCCCAGGTATAGATCAAAGAACAACTGCGAGTGGAGATGCATAAAGAACAGTACATGCACCTATGGATGAATACATACATACATACATACGTACTCGTACTTGTATGTTACGTACCTACATACATACATGCATACACACTACTTGCCTTCCCGATCCTTCCCGCCTCTTGCATGTGCACAGCCATACAAACTCGGATATGGGCAGATGAGTGGCAGATGCATTCTTTTTCTCCCTGGCATTTAAGCCACGGTGCTGTTCCAGCAGAAAACGCAAGTGCACTGAAGGCCTTCGAGTTGAAGGAGCAGCAGAGCTAGATGCCGAGTTGTCCGAAACGACCTGGTAAGGTTATCAGAAGGTTGCAACACCAGAAACAGGGAAATAGATCGATATGAGTGCCGAGTGCAGTTCGGCAGAGCGTGAAATGAGGCTCAACTCTTGATAGGCCACTGCACTGGTGGAACAGCTTTGTGTCGAACTAGTTGACTGCTCGTAATCTGCAAACAGTTCAAATTTATTGAAATACATGCCGAGAACCCGCAATGTTCTGTTCATCGGGCTGCACAGCAATAAAACGTATCGTTTCGAAAAGGCACTGTCACTGTGCGAAGTTGCTGCATTGGACGGCAACGATGGCACTGCCTTGGTGGCCAACAGGAAAATTGGAGACGAGGAAGTCAAGAATGATGAATGGGATGCCACGACGAAGACGGTGGTGAGGATGGCGGCGGTGATGGTATGGCTTCTGCTTACGGCAATAAGCAGGAATGTCAACATTGCCTACTGAAAAAGAACAAAAGTGTCTGGTTGCCACTACTCACTAATCACTGCAGAGGCAAGGTCTGACGATGCTCCCTGAGCCGTATGCAAGCATACTAAGCCATTAAGCACGAGAAGCAGCAGTACACGTAGTCAGCTTGACGGATAGCAGTCAGCGTGGGTGTCGACTGTTGGCAAACAGGGCCAGGATGACACTGATGACACCCGAGGCGACGCTGCCATGTAGAGCGAAAGTGAAACAAGCTGTTAAAACCACAAGCACGCAGACAAGGCACAGCTGCTAAGCAGTACTACTTCCACAACTACTGATATGCATTGTACTACGGAAGGCTGGGCATACCTGCACTATTAGAACACAAAAGTCACCTGCAGCACAGCTTTTAGCAGGGCCGAAGTTCCCTTTGAACTTTTGGGTGTTGCCAAACTGCAGGAAACGCGATGCTGGGGTTTCGAAGGCCTCGGAGAGCCGCGTTTCCAGCTCCGTGCCACCAAGGAGCTGGCAAGCACTACCCCTGCTGCAGCCACCTGTCACATCACTTCGACTCGCACACTCGCACAAGGCAGCCTATGCTATATCCAGTACAACTTAGAGCGTTTAGGGCTACAGTTACAGGAAGGGATGTTAGGGGCATCAGGGCTTCGGTGAAGGAAGGCAGCCGCACCCTGCCTGGCTGCCAGGCTTCCACGCAAGGCTCTGCGCAAGTAAGCGGGTGACCGACGGTTCCCACGGATGACGTCCTTCACAGATTTTCAATGACACCGGAAGCATGATGCTGAAAAAGGGGTCCCTGCTATTCAAAACAAGCTTCGGAACTTGACGATCAGGACGACGAGTCTTCGGTTTCATGTCGGCCTGACGTTTCTCTCGAAGCGCACACTGCTACAAGCAAGTTGGTAAAGTTATGTCTTTGCTCGTGACACTCTCCCTCTGCCTCCCGGCGACCCTTGTCGCCGGCAGGTGTCGATTGAACCTGGTGGGAAATACCGGCCCTTCACAAGACGCCAATCTCAAACTCGTTCCAGGCATGTGCCGTGACATCACGCTTTTCACACGAGACTGCCGAACCTGCTTCCCGACCCAGAAGCACTGGTGGCAACTTGTGCACGACTGCCTCGGCCACTCACCGTTGTCTGCACATGTCTGCACATCAAGCGAAGCGACTTGACTCGGTGAGCGACCCATCACGACATCCGCCTTTGCGCTTCACATAGCGGCAAGGTGGGCCACAGGACCTTTGGCATTTAGATCTCTTCCGAAAGACAGATGCTCAGGCCAGATGGTGTCCGTGTGCTGGGGACTTTGCAATTACCGCTCAACCATTCAAATGAGACTGTAACTATTCGCCGACAATAGAAACATGCTACCGTTGTGCCAATGAAGGCGGCGACCGTATCGGTAGCAGCTCACAGGATCCGATGGATGTCTGTGCAGCCCGATCGAGCTTGCTTGTGCAGTTGCGGTGGCTGTGTTTCGGGACCCGAAGCAACCACTCTTCAGCGTTCTCTCTTGGCTTTTGTGAGGCGACTTGGAAATGGCCTGTTTCCAACATGATCTCCCAAGACTCCCAAAGATCCCAAAGCCTTTTTCAAACGATGCCGACCGAACTTCGATATATCCGGCATGTCTCCATGGACACTTCAGCAAGCACTGTTTCACATGTCACTACGACGCAGTCTTCCTGTGGCTGGGTGCTCCGGCAGCAACCCCCTCCCGGAGGAGAAACCACAAGATGTCGACAAGTGGCAAGCTTCAGGACTTCCCCGCAGAGCAACAGGCGAATGGGATATTCTAATCATTTTAACGAAACGTAGAAGACGTGGAGATCTTACGTCAATCAACAACTGCAAGAGAAACAAGAAGTAGCACTAACGCGTAGCACAGGCACTGTCGTGGGGCCCCGACTCAGGGTGCCCAATGGTCCCTCGAGAGATCACCCTGGTTTGCGCTCTGGTGCAAGGCGCCGCCGACTGTAGCTGCTGGCTTGCCTGGAAAGTGTGGAGCAGATCCGATACGCCGGCTTTCAGAAATCTACTGGCAACAATCAAAATGACACCACTGAGAATCGTGGGAACAAGATGTCACCACTCTTCTTGCTGGTACTCTCTGTGTATATAAAAATATACATACATATATATATATATATGTATACATATGCAGAGATACTACGACCCAGTGAACCTTATTGTTCTTGATCTTGCTGTTTCTGTCGTTATTCATGTCAGTTTTATAGTTACTATGAGTGTTATATGCGGAATTTTCTTATTCATTTTATTGTTATCCATATTCTAATCGTTGTTCCGTTTTTGTACGGAAAGTAGGTTGTGTGTGACTGAGTACTACTGTGTTGTATCATGTATGGAACTAAGAAATATTATACCATGTGTATCGGTCGTTCCGATAGTGGTCACTGTGACAGGACTGACATTCTGGGGCGGAAGGTCTATAGCAACTTGGAACTCTAAGCTCCCCGCTGTCTCCGGCCGGCGCACTGGATGAGGCCTTCCAGATAGCTGCACTTGCACTACTTGTAGCTGTAACAATAGTAGTGACCATCATCATAATCACTATTTTAAGAATAAGAACAGAAGAATAACAATAAACTGCCTGCTGGCTCCTCAACACAACGCACTCGAACAAGCTCCGGACTGTGGTGGCGGCGGTAGCAGGAGGTCAGATTCCTACCCCGGCGATGCTGACACATCCAACTCGCTTGGAGCCGCTTGTGCTTTGGGTGTTGATGCCGCATGAATTTAGGATGACTGTGTCTTCTGTCAGCCAGTGCCATGTACTACGGCACACCTGCTTCAACTTCGCAGCGAGAGAGCAAAAAGAGAGAGACAGACAGAGAGCGAGTTTAACACATGCGAATCCTTATTGTAAGGACCCCCCAATAAGGTACCCTAATTTTCAAACTCCCACATGGTGTTGGCTGTCACCCACACCCTTTCACAGTATCTCCCCACCCCTCCGTCCCGTTTGCGACAACTGCAGCGATAGCGCCCGCTGAAGGCTCGATTCCGGACAGTCGTTGCATTCGGAGGATGGGAGGGGTCTCAGGCCTGGGTCATCTATCTTGTGTATAACATAGGCTGTGAAATCATGCATACATGTTTATACACATGCGCACAGATGCACTTGCACAGCCGCTGCATCTGCAAGGTCGTTGCAATGACACTAACTCTGAGTGAGACTGCTGTTCGGATTAAGCGATGCCAGCATCCAGGTTTGCTTTACTGACAGCTTTGTCATTCGCACCGCCACATGTCATGCGCAATCCCGGAACAGAAAGCATACAACATGATCCTGCCACAGATCAGTCCTCCCCCGCTTGTTCCTGCTCTATATCAAAGAGCTTCCTGGGCCACTGTCTCACACGCTCCAAGCGAATTCGGGACGCATTGAAAGTTGCAGGGTCAAAGGTCGCGGTCACGCCCACAGTTGGCCACAATTCAGCAAAGAGGCATTCCCAGCAGCATCTGCGCTTGCTGATCTAACCAATATCCAGGTTCTTGGGTGCGGAATGCAGTGAGGAGGCAGCAGGCAGCATAGCAGTGTTCCTCTACTGCTTCTCCTACTGCCACGACAACGGCTACCACCACTACCACCACTGCTGCAAACACCACCACTACAAGTACGACGACTCAATGCTACTGCTGCTGCTACTACTGCTGCCGATACTACTGCTACTGCTACTGCTGCTACTGACATTAGTGCTCACTACTGCTGCTGCTGCTGCTGATGCTGTTGCTGCTGCTGCTGCTACGACTACTACTATACTACTACTACTACTACTACTACTACTACTACTACTACTACTACTACTACTACTACTACTACTACTACTACTACTACTACTCCTGCTACAAACACTACTACTACTACTACTACTACTACTACTACTACTACTACTACTGCTACTACTACTACTACTACTACTACTGGCACTAGCACCAGCATTACCGTTACCGTTCCATTACCACTACGACTACGACGAGTACTTCTTCTTCTTCTACTACTACTACTACTGCTGCTTCTGCTACTACGAAGCCTACTGTTGAGGGGAAGAAGATTTCTATACCCGTGCGTGAACACAATCAGAACAATAATAACCCTTGTAGCTAGCAACTCTTCTGCTGTAAGTTCCAAGTCCGATATCATCCATGATTCCAATCACAGGGGTGGCGGTGCCCACGCTTGAGGTTCCACCACGACCAGGTGCTAAGTGCGTAGAGGAGCTTGGGGCCTCAGAACGCAGCTGGCAGTATGCCCCAGCCCGGGATGTTCTGTCACTGCAGTTAAATGACATCCAGGAGCACACTAAGCAGCAAACGAAAAACTGAACATCGGGAGTGATGCAACCACCCACGTTCTTGCCCTTCCCGACGGCCATGCGAGGTACTCCTCTGCCTCTCAGCTAGGTCGGGATATCCCAATGACCCGTCCCCCTCGCACCCTCCTAGACCCTAAACCCGTTTTGCAACTGGCTTGCAACCCCTAAACCCTACACCCCTGAACTCTAAACGGCTCTCTGTCCCAAACAAGGTCTGCAGAACGGGGTAACCCCTTTCCCCTAAACCCCTGAACTCTAAACGGCTCTGTCCCAAACAAGGTCTGCTGAACGGGGCCGTGCTGTGCAAATCCCTCGCCTCTCGGGGGGCGTAAGCAATGCTTTCTGCCCAGCTTCTGAGCCGAAGGCTGAGGCGTGTGCAATGTGTATATATGTATATTTATGTATACATATACTCATAGAACTAGATGTATCTTATACATACATACTTTTTTATGTATGTGTGTGTGTGTGGGGTACATGCATATTGTATATATACATGTCCATGTACGGGTCCACACGCATACTCACATCATGTATTACATGCTTTACATGATATGCAGGCAGTACATATACACTTATACTTACATATGTATAGATACATCCACGCAGCCATGCGCACATACAAACAAACAAGCAAACATGCACACAGCCAGCGATGTCCAGCTGACCACCACGGGGTGATGCAAGGGAACCGGAAAGATCGTGTTCAACAAAGATTGCTCCGGAATCCTTATCTGCAGCAGGTAAGATCCGCAAGAGTCCAATCTTCAACGGCCGCCCCGTCTGGGAGGCATCTTTCGTTCTCGATACTGCCCTCCTCTCACACCGCCAGGGCAATTGCATCTTGGATTTGGGCATTCCTGGCGGTTGGTCGAACTGCTTGGCTGCAGCACCGTTTGTGCGACACTTTTCAGTACCAGTACGTGTGGAACTCTGCCGGTCTGTGCAGCTAGGCAAGCATCTCATTCGTGCTTGAATTCTCTCTGAATGCCAATGAGCCTTGTGGTACAAACTAACACGAGAACTCCTCCTGCGCACGCACACACACACACACACACCTGCAAAAGAGATTGGGAAAGCAACACCACCCACAGCTCAACTGACAGGACAAGGCGGTGGCAAGAAACTCGAGGCGCACCAGCTCAGCCTGCAAGCAGCTGCATATTAAACAGAAGAAGCAAAGCTGACAAAGCATGTGGCACGTGACCATGTGAGGCCTCCTTCTTCCTCACTGCCAGGTACGGAGACACTGGCTCTACGCCGCCGGAATCCGGCCTGCAGGTGCAGGAGCTCCGCGGCCCCAACGAGCGTGAGACACCGAAAATTGGTATACAGGTTTGAGGAGTCCGAAGATTCAGCCGCAGCAACCACGCCAAGAGACTTAGCAGCCTGAAGGCAAGCTGCAGAATACGCAGAGCAGAGCAACGCACACAGAGTAGATCGCAGCATGGCCTTGCATCGTCGTCACCTTCTTCGACGACCTGCAGTCGGCATGTCGGAGCAGCGTGAGGACTGCGAGCACAAGTGACAACTAGAAGACAATTGGCCCGAAAGCATCATTAGCGAAGAGTTTAGCGCTACGTTATAGAATCCAGTGCATAGAATTATAGAGTCATAGCGCGAAGTGCATCTTATTATGAAGTATATGGCAATGCCGAGATCGATATTTTTGAATCTATGAACTTGACTCTACGTGTTTCACTCTGCGTTTCTCAGTCGATGTTGTCAAAGCTGTCGAAGCAGTGTATAAACTTAAGTATATGAAGTCAACTGCATACGGCGAAGCGCATAGAGTCAAGTGCATAAGTCAGGTGAATAAGTATCTAGAGTCATGGTGTCAAGTTGTTTCAGTGCAGCCAGATCCGGTGGTCGGTGATCGCATTATAGTGCTACGGTATCCTTGGTCGGAGCTGATCCAGCAGGGAAGACGGTAGAGATTCGATCGAAGCAGGTAAAGAACAGTCCTCAGTATGGTAAGATGATGCAACATGTTCATCCCTTCGAGCAAAGCATGCGGGTCATACATGTGCAATGAGAAAGCCTCTGCAATCGACGTAGAGATTCCGAGCCTGAATAAGTCATCGAGCAGGCACCGGCGACGCCTCATTGCAATACAAACTGACTCACGCAAGCAGTGACCAACGGCGGTGATTCCCCATGAAGCATCCTGCTCGGCAATGCGCCGCGATAGACTTAGAGCTTCCAACAACTCCGCTTGGGAAAATTTGCGCCCGGCTGACTTCTGCTGCGCATCCGCCAGCGACAGCGAGCCCACACAACTGATCCCGAGTCCGCTTCCCGAGCTCGTCGCGGAGCCAGGCTTCGCCGTGCTCGGCACAGCCCTCTCGCAGCTCCTGCAGCTTTTGCTCCGACGCAGCAACAGCATCGACCTGACAGCAAAGACTTCACGTGAAAGCACGAAACATCTAACCTGGCCACGACACTGACGCCTCACTGCAAGACAAATTGACACAGACAATGATCAACGACATCGATTCCCCATGAAGCCTCCTCCTCGACAATGCACTGTGATAGAGCTTATACCAATTCCAGCTTGGATAGAGTGCGCCAGGACGAGCCCTTTCGCAGGCCATTCAGCTGCTATGGCAGCAACACCATGTGTCCACCCCGGCCTTTTCGCAAGACAGTGTCTAGTCAGGCAAAGAACCGTCTTAAGTATGGTGAGATGCTGCAACGTATTTTCCCTTCCGAGCAGAGCGAGGCAGGTAAAGAACAGTCCTCAGTATGGTAAGATACTGCAAGATATTTCTCCTTTCGAGCAAAGCATGCGGGCCATACATGTGCAATGGGAAAGCCTCTATAATCGACGTAGAGATTCCGTGCCTGAATAAGTCATCGAGCAGGCACCGGCGACGCCTCATTGCAATGCAAACTGACTCACGCAGGCAGTGATCAACGACAGCGATTCCCCTTGAAGCGTCCTGCTCGGCAATGCGCCGCGATATTCTGCTGCGCATCCGCATTGACAGCGAGCCCACGCAACTGATCGCGAGTCCGCTTCCCGAGCTCGGCGCGGAGCCAGGCTTCGCCGTGCTCGGCACAGCCTTCTCGCAGCTCCTGCAGCTTTTGCTCCGACGCAGCAACAGCATCGACCTGACAGCAAAAACTTCACGTGAAAGCACGAAACGCACGGAGCCAAGTTTCACCGTGCTCGCCAAACCCTCTCGCAGACCATTCAGCTGCTGTGGCGGCAACGACATGGTACTATGTACTCCTACTACTACTACTACTATTATTATTATTACCATCTATTATTACTACTATTACTACTATTACTACTATTACTAGTATTACTATTATTACTACTATTACTACTATTACTATTATTACTACTATTACTACTATTACTATTATTACTATTATTACTATTATTACTATTATTACTATTATTATTACTAGTATTACTAGTATTACTACTATTACTACTATTACTATTATCACTACTATTGCTCCTAACTCCTATTACTACTATTACTACTTTTTCTCCTAGTACTACTATTACTACAAAAGTGTTGACTTTACCTCGCGTTCGAACACTCGACAACGCCAATCTCTGTGAAGGGTTGCGAATTTCACTTCAATGCATATCAAAAGTAATAACTTTACCTCGCGTTCGTGCGTTCGACCACGCCAATCCCTGTGAAGGGTTGCAAAATTCAATTCAATGCACATCAAAAGTAGCAACTTTACCTAGCGTTCGTGCATTCGACCATGCCAATCCCTGTGAAGGGTTGCAAAATGCTAATCCCTGTGAAGGGTTGCAAATTGCACCTCAATGCACCTAAAAGCGCTTCAAAGTAGCAACTTTGCCTCGCGTTCGCGCACTCGATCATGCCAATCCCTGTGAAGGGTTGCAAGTTCGTGCACTCGACCACACCAATCCCTGTGAAGGGTTGCAAATTGCGCCTCGAAGCGCATCAAAAGTAGTAACTTTACCTCGCGTTTGGGCGCTCGACCATGCCAATCCCTGTGAAGGGTTGTGCGGCGCGCCTATTAAGTTAAAAAAATGTGTAACTTTACCTCGCGTTTGAACGCCCGAGGAGGCGAATCCCTGTGAAGGGTTGCGCGGCGCCCGAAAAATGTGTAACTTTACCTCGCGTTTGAACGCCCGAGGAAGCGAATCCCTGTGAAGGGTTGCGCGGCGCCCGAAAAATGTGTAACTTTACCTCGCGTTTGAACGCCCGAGGTGGCCAATCCCTGTGAAGGGTTCACCCGCGCGCCTAAAATGTGTAACTTTACCTAGCGTTTGGGCGCTCGACCAAGCCAATCCCTGTGAAGGGTTGCACGGGCACCGCATTAAGTTAAAAAATGTGTAACTTTACCTAGCGTTTGGGCGCTCGCCCATGCCAATCCCTGTTCACCCGGGCGCCTAAAATGTGTAACTTTACCTAGCGTTTGGGCGCTCGCCCATGCCAATCCCTGTGAAAGGTTCACCCGGGCGCCTAAAATGTGTAACTTTACCTAGCGTTTGGGCGCTCGACCAAGCCAATCCCTGTGAAGGGTTCACCCGGGCGCCTAAAATGTGTAACTTTACCTAGCGTTTGGGCGCTCGACCAAGCCAATCCCTGTGAAGGGTTCACCCGGGCGCCTAAAATGTGTAACTTTACCTAGCGTTTGGGCGCTCGAGGTGGCCAATCCCTGGGAAGGGTTGCGCGGGAACCCTAAAATGTGTAACTTTACCTAGCGTTTGGGCGCTCGAGGTGGCCAATCCCTGGGAAGGGTTGCATTCCCGATGGACGACGACGGTGCCACCCCTGGCTTTAGAAGAGAGATTAGATACCGAGATGTAGAGAGTAAGTCATAGAGGCATAGAGTCAAGTAAGTAAGTAAGTAAGTAAGTAAGTAAGTATAAGTAAGTATAGAGATAGCATAACATAGAGTCCAGTGTCAAGTGTCAAGTAAGTAAGTAAGTAGAGTGAAGTAAGTAAGTAGAGTGAAGTAAGTAAGTAAGTAAGTCGTAAGCATAACATAGAGTCAAGTATCAAGTGTAGAGTCAAGTATCATAGAGTCAAGTGTCAAGTGTAGAGAGTCAGTCATAGAGGTCAAGTAAGTAAGTAAGTAAGTATCAAGTGTAGAGTCAAGTATCAAGTGTAGAGTGAAGTAAAGTATGGAGTCAAGTAAGTTGATTCTATGTCTGTCATCTATGTACTCAGCTGCGGCGTTCCACACGGAAGAACCCTTCGCGATGCTTTCGGGAAAACCGCTATCGCGATCATGACCGGAGTGGGACCAGTGACTCGTGACTAGACGTCAACGACACGGCCGCTTATCCCTCTTAAGAGCTATGCAGTGCCTCGACTGCAGAGACGGATATGAAAGGTGCCTGCCTAAGGCAGCTGGTCCAACCCTGGTCCAACCTAACAGCAAAGACGCTTCTTTGCCCACCTTGGGCTTCAGGGAGCTTTGACCTCAGCTGCGAGCTTTAATGTGCGTTCGGCGCCAGCTTCTGCGAACAGAACGCCTTCTTCATAACGAAATCAATGCAGCAGCGCATTGGACTGTAGGCAACGCGAGACTGCAGCCAAGAACGTGAGCATGCCCAAATCAAAGTCAGAAAGCATCAAACAGCCAATCTCTTAAGTCTTAGCGACACAGCAGCGACAGAACAAACAAAAGAAGAACTTGTATGATGGGAGGCCAAAAGGGGGGGTTGAGATTCTTGGGGTATGGATTCCTTCATATGAACCCTATTATGGGAACCCTGATCCCTACTAAACCCCCATAGGCTAAAACCCCTTTTGGCCTCCTATGATTGTACATTTCCTGCAACGGGCTTCGGTCTCTACAGCTGTCACCAAGCATGGCCACTGACGGGCCAACTTTAGGTTTAGGCACCGACCCATGCACTAAGCTGCCCAGATTTCAGCCTGCGGCGGGTCCGTCTTAAGGCGTTTCCTCGAGTGTAGGGCTGAGAGTCACCGAGCGAGGCTAGCAGAGGTGGTTTCTGAAAAACCACCGTAGTTATGCCAGGTTACCGTTGCCGCCCGTACATGGACACCGTCTGACAATCAGCTTTCTCAAACACTTGCCTCTATTGGACTTTTTCGGAATCTGTGTCTAGGAAGATACTCTGGCAAACGGCCAAGCCTTACCATCCAACGATCTTACCCTGCCAAGTTATCTACATAGTTTCACAGTGCGTAACCGAGCAAGCTGACAAGGCCAAATCTCCATATGGGTGTTTCCAAAAATAGGGGACCCCAATATAGTACCCTAAATAGTATAGACCCTTATTATAAGGACCCTCAAATAAGGTACCCCCAATTTTCGGAAACTCCCATATTGCACTTTTTCTGATCCGACTCCATGCCTCCCCTTGTTTCAAGGATGTCTCACATATGGCATGTCTGCGGTAGCGGTGCTGCCTGTGTAGCAATTTTCCGTGGGCATGCAAAGATGGCATCTGCATTCGTCATGCTGTCTGCACCAGACACAGTCTGAATACAGCTAGCAACCAGTTGCCCCATGCGATGTCAATGTACCTAATGTCTGTCGGTCGTTAATTTAACTCGGCAGCCCATGGAATGACCATCGACAGAGTCACGAATGGCAGCACCCGCGTGCTTCCAAGTTTCACTCTCCGTTCTACGTGGGAAACATCGCCCCTATTCAGGGCAAAGTTTGCGCTACTGACGATCGCAACTGCGGCTGCTGCTAGCCACGAACATTCGCGAACGCTTGATCCTTCTCTTCTCTATTTGCTTGCAAAACCCCGGCCCTGTAGCCCTACCTCTTACAACATGCGCAGAACGCGCTGCTCGGTAAAGCTAGCAACCATGCTGAAAAGACGAAGAATATGCGGGAACAAAACCTGCGACCTACAGGGTGAAACATCTCAACGGCATAGGTGGCTGAAGAGGCTCGAGCTGGGGAAGGGTCTCGCCAAGGGCGCGTCGAAAAGAGGCGAGTCGCAGTGGGTGTCGCTGAGAATGCATGGCTGAAGTCACCTATGCATGCAATGGCATTGCGTAGTGACCTGTTCATGCAGTTGCTGAACGAATTGTGTACTTTATTGCTCATGACGGCAGCTTCTTTATTGGGGCTGCCTTTTTTCAAGCGCGCATTTGTGAAAGACACGAGACGCGTTGGATCCCGGCTGAAGGCCTGATCCTGCTTCCGGCCGGACACATGAGATGAGGCGAAGAAGCAAAGCACAAAAGTTTGCTTGTCAGTTGCTAGCCAAACTGCAATTTAATGCACACGCTCATTGTTGCTGTGAACGGCATCTTGGACTGCTGCGACTCTTTCTGCGCTCCTCCGTCGCCCATCATTTGCTCACCGGAAAGACGAAGACGGTGCAGAGGAAGCTTCTGAGCCACCATAGCTCGACTCCTTCAGGGGGGGCATAGCTCGGAATCTTGGCAAAACTCATCGTCGGTGCCGCTGGCACCGTTGTTGTTACCGTTTACCCTTTGGACCACTACCGGCGCGACCTTTTGCCTGCTATACCTCTCAACTGCGACTCTAACAACAGCTGCTGCCGCCGCGAGCAGCAGGACACCTTGGTACTTGGATAAGGCCTCTTGTGCTACGACTCCCATTTACGTATGCCTCTGTGCCTGCTTTAGACTGGTATTGATGCTGCTATTAAATACTAGAACCCTTGTTCTTGGCTGCGTCGTTTCAACTAACGCTATTCCTGCTTTTCAATCGCTGCCGATGATTCCGCTGTCCTTTGTTCGTTACTGCTGCTGCACGGTCTTGCTGTGTTTGTCGACTGAGGCACTTTGTCTTGGCCTCTTCACACCATGCTTGCACTCACGGACTTTAGAGCCCATGCTCAAAGGGCCTTAACAAGTAGAATAGGGTTTGGGGGCCAATTACACATATTTTACTATCATTCTAATATGGAGCCCCCAAAACTCTTACCCGGATCGCTCTGGATGTCAAAGTTGTCAAAGCCATTGAGTCTGGAGTTGCGGTTGGGTCCAATCATTGCTCCAGGTAGTAGTCTTGTTATGGCAGTTTGTTGGACCTGGTTTCTTGCACAAAGAGCTCCTGTCGACACGTTTCGGGAACATGTCGGTGCAATGGAAGCTCTGCCTCCATACTTATACGAAGCTACAATCTAACTTAAACTTCTAATTGCAGTACATCCACGGATTGTGAACCATGGCTACCGACAGTGCCCCGCCTGCGAAAGTAGGTTTGGAGTCTGTGAATCATGCTCACTAACACCCTAAAACCCTATAGTATATCTTACAGTACCCTATAGATCCTTTTACAGATCTTTACAGGAACCCCTAAGACCCTCAGGCCTGAGCCTGAAGTTGGGCCAGTTGCGCTTGTCTTTTCGCCTGGAGCTCCTTCTTTGCCTGCAGAGGCGCGGGCATCGTCGCACGAAGCAACAAGCATGGCCACTGAGATCGTGCGAACAGAGGGAGGGCTGAGAATATCGTACTCGCATGGAGGCAATGCAAAGTGGCATAGTGGTCATGTGATGCGAATGCTAACCATTGAGAGTGCGGCCAACGGCTTTCGGAGTTACAAGCACATGATGAGCCTGGCCTAGCCATCCTAGCCCACACGTGTCGGGGACAAGTCAGCTGAAGGAGGGAGGGGTGATTTAGGACATTTGCTCTTACTGTCAGGGCCCAGGGTTTCCTCCTGCTGCTTTTGCTCCTCAGGCTTGGTCACATATTGCATTTTTGAGCTACACAACTACACCAAGTAGCCAGCAAGCCAGCCACAAAGAACTCACGCCATCTTTCCTAATTCTCTCTTCTCGTGGCTTTCAAAGCCACAAGTTACCATGCATTGACTGCTTTACTCGGCTGCGATGTTCTCTGCGGAGCATACTACGAAGCACCCTGCTGCTTTGTTACATGACTCCCACAAGTCTCGCTATGCTAGTGACTACTCTTATTATTACTACTACTACTTTACTACTACTACTACTACTACTACTACTACTACTACTACTACTACTACTACTACTACTACTACTACTACTACTACTACTACTACTACTACTACTACTACTACTACTACTACTACTACTACTACTACTACTACTACTACTACTACTACTACTACTACTACTACTACTACTACTACTACTACTACTACTACTACTACTACTACTACTACTACTACTACTACTACTACTACTACTACTACTACTACTACTACTACTACTACTACTACTACTACTACTACTACTACTACTACTACTACTACTACTACTACTACTACTACTACTACTACTACTACTACTACTACTACTACTACTACTACTACTACTACTACTACCACTATAAGGATTATTACTAATTATGACTTTAATTACTGTACATAGAAGCTGAAGCCTCCTCCAGCGACACTTTCGGCGACTTGACTGACTTTCGCGGAGGCTTCTTGGGGACCTTGTCCCCATCCTGACACAACTGGTATAGCACTCAACTGGCCTGTAGGACCCAGGAATGCTTAAGCCCTAACCCTAAACCCCAAACTGTGCAGGAGCATAAAGGTGCAGGAGCATAAAGGGATGGAGAAAAATCACGAGACTCTTTGCTCGTGGCCTTCTGGCCCGTCCCTGCTTGGAGGTTCATGGGTAGTTATAACTGGGGTTATACGTCCCCTGATAGCGGCGATAATGATACTTACCCTACTTATAACGCCACTTATAACTACCCATGAACCTCCAAGTGAAGCTGTCTGGAACGGCCGGCGCTCTCTCGTGCAACCCTAACTGCAGGGCAGACCCCCTGTACGAGAATATATTTAATCAGCCCAACACAACGCAAACAGAACCGAGCCACACCGAGACTAAGCCGCAGTCACTGAACACTTAAACAACAAAGAAACATGTGACGAAAACCACGACCCTTGCTCATGTGGCTACTCTCTCTTCATGCATGCTTCCGTCTTACAATCTTGTCAGTTCGCCACTGCTGGATGTGTCTTGCATTTCAACGGAATCTCACCACGCTTGTGCTGGATGTGAGGCGCTCACACGTCGCTCCAAGGAAGCATGATATGTGCCAAGACTGTGCAGACAAGCATCACTTCCGGCTTTGGGTCCTCATGATGCGGGCACAGGTGTTACAATGCGCATCCTGTCGAAAACCCTGCGTACTTCCTTGAGACTACATGGTCTTGTCCCGAGTTGTACACAAGATGGGTAGCCCCACACACGCACAGACACGTATGCGTGCAAAACACGCGTACACGGTTATCTGCTTGTAGGCACGTTCCCCTACCCATGTTCATACGTACATGCATGTATATAGCTATATAAGTAGACACACTTGCAATATACTGCGACATCGAACTACGTCCTGTGAATTTACATTTATTTAGTAGCTGCTTTTACAAGGGGCCACTGATTATGACCGCACTTGGCCCTTCACGTCCTGGACGCGCCTACTTAGCAGGCTCTCAGTTCAGCGATGTAATAGCAGTTATCAGCATGCAGAGCATGATTTGTTTGAGTGGCTGCTTGTATCTGTGCTTGTGGTGCTCAACCACCGAGAGGAATACACATATGCGCAGTGTGGTTGAGCACTGCGCATTCTGAGCCCCCCCCACCGCCTCCAAAACACAACATAAAAACAAACCTGCCGGCCCCGTATGAGTATGAAATTCCCTCCTTTGCAAGTGCCCTCTGTAAATCGTGAGGACACAGACTTGTTGCATGTTCCACAGAACACAACTCCTAGAAAAGGTGGCCAACCTCCGGCAAACTGAAAGATCCGATAACAGGACTACTAAAAAGACTCAATGGTATATATCTTATATGTATAATGATTTTGTCATATATACAATAATTGTTTGCCTTCCTGGTTTTGCAAAACCGCTGTCTTGTCTGTCTCTGGAATTGCTCTCCTACCTCGTCTACATGGGTAGTGGGGGGTTACAATGCCTACAAGCACGACCGGCAGGTGCCTAGGCAAAGAGCAGACCATATCATCTCCATATTATGACACATGGCATTGACACATCGTAACTTGCAAAGTGCTGTTGTGACTGTTTACAAGTAAGCACTGTCCGTTCATGTTTGCGATCGCTCGTTCTACATGTGTGGAAGACACTGCTCACAAGCAATTGGACACCTATAGTGCGCATCTTTTGTACATAAACGCACCTGCATACGTTGTTGCTAGTCTCCGCATTCTGCATGGATGGTGTTTCGGCCAAGCGACGACCTCGGCCTCCTTTGGGCGTACTGCCTCAGTCGGAACCACGGGGGTTCTCGCTGTCAGCTGCAGCAACTACGGACTTTCGGCGAGGCTCCAGTATTCCAAAGGCAAGCTACTTAATTTTGGTTAGTAGGGAATGGAGGGATGGGGTATAATTATAACTACTATTACTACCATTCTTCCATTCCCTACTAATCAACTGTAAGGCTAACGCAGGTCTCTACTGACTGCCGAAATCACTGGGGGGCTGAAGCTGTTGTACCTCTCTGTTTGTACCAGGTCCGGGAATCCCAAATTCCAAAATCCCAGTCTGCACCTTAGGGCCACAGGATGTCCGGGATGGCGGGTGCAATGTCATGATATTGGGGCTGTAAACATTAGAACAGGGTTTGGGGGTATCGTATGCAATGCTACCCCTTTTTATAAGGAACCCCGAAGCAATCGCAGTATTGGTAATTATTTTGGTCCCCATATTGCCAGCGCAAGCCAAGTTTGCTGATGCTCCGCAACGATTCGCCGAAAACTACAGCAGTCCATGAACCCAGGAGCCCGATGAAAAACAGGAATCCGTAGTTTGGCTAGGGCTTAGGGTTTGGGGAGTTTGGTTTGCAGTTAAACAGATACGACGAGATTTGATAATATCTCACCACCCGGACTCGCTGCGCTCAAGACGGTGGGATGGCACGCCATTGTACAGATGCTCCGCTCAACACACGTCAAAGCATGGTCTCAAGCGTATTAAGGGGTTGTGCCCATGACCTACTTGGAGGTTCATGGGTAGTTACAAGTGGGGCTATAATTAGGGTAACTATAGTTATAACTCCCAGTAAGGGACTTATAACCCCACTTATATCTACCCATGAACCTCCAAGTAGTTTCATGCCTGGAAACCCTCAAGAGTTGGTGCCCTGCCTCTGTCAGCATCAGAAGCAAGCGAAGCATTGTCCCAGGCAGAACTCTGCATATCGGCATATAGGTTGGATAAGTCTTTGCCAATCCTGTCCTTGGAGCAGAGAACCGAGCAAATTGTATACCACCGACTGCAAGGCACTGCGGAGAAGACACGAGCAAACTTCACTCCGAGTCACAACTCTTTGTGCAACTCGCATAAGGTCTCTTGACTGCGCACCTTGCCACTGCGAAAGACTTCAATGTTCCATGTAGATACGTCACCAGAACGACTTCAATCGTGTCAACTCCTTCCGACCACCTGTAGGGCTGTACGACACACACACATGCCGGGACAGCAAATCGGCCTCCTTTCATGCGAGCCAGACCATGGAAAAACTCTTTGGTCTCAATGCCACCGTCACCGTCATCAAGAAGATCGAAAAGTTCCTGGCAAGCACGCGCAGAACAACACCAACAACAGTAGTTTCGGTGATAAAGCTGGATACTCATCGAAACATCGTACCAAGGTGAGGCTCACACTATAACGCAAAACTCCAGGAAATGCACATCTTCCCTTCTGCTATGCTCCATTTATCCATCAGCAGCTCAGGATATCTCAAACCCTTTCGCATGAAGCCCGAATTCCACACCCGGCCTTGCACTCTTCGGGCTGGAAATCTAGCAGGCGCCACTTCCTCGGATCCCCGTTTTCAGGGCCGCTCACCACAGGGCTTTGGGAGTCTGCAGTGGTTGCAACCCTGACTATGCTGGCTGCGGCCGAAAGTGACTGGACTCTTAGCCTGGACACTGCTTGTTGCGGAGCTGGGATGCTCTCTCGAGGCATTAGAAGTGATGAATTTGGTTTGCCGCAAATGTGCAGCCTGGTCCGCCTATCAATCTTGTGCTACCACTCATCTTGGCTTGGCTGGTAACCTGAATCCGAAACCCTGAACCCTAGCCTCCGTGCACAGACTTCTGATCTAAACCCTATGCAGCGTGACGTGTTTTATTGCGTCGCAGATCCGGCTCATCTCCTCGTCATGGAAAGCATTCTCGAACCTGGTGTCCAGAATCCAGTACTGCTACTGGAGTGTTTGTTGCTGTCACTGTTGGAACTTATTGGTATTATCCTTATTCATCTTGGACTCTTGTTGTTGCTCTTCCTCTTACCATCATTAGTAAACTTCGGCTTGGCGAACATCACCTATTAACCGCGACGCAGGCAAAGGCTCTTGGACAGTGGAACGCAAAACGGTGGATGCAAAATGACAAATCAAAGCGATCCAGCATACCTTCTCGTGCAACGTGTTGCGAAACCACAGACACATACTATGACTTACAATGGAACCACAGAATCCCGGAGCCGTGTCGCCCTGCTGCAAACCCGTGAGAAACGCAGAAACACAAAGCCATCACAACGACTATTCCCACCGTCCACATTATGACTGCAGGATCATCTCCCTGGTTCTTAGATGTTCTAAGTCGGGAATAGGGGGGAATGGATCTCTATGATAGCCCCTTATAGTAAGCCCTTTAACCCACTCCCCCATTCCCTAAGAACCGGGGAGTCATGGGGGCCCGCCGCATGCTTACTCTCTCCTACAATGCGCGAGGCATGTGTCCAAGATCTGCCAGAGTGACACTCCTATCTGAAGTCACCAAGCACCCGCATCGTGAAAGCAGCGTCAGACCATAAAGGAAAGCAGAGCCAAGTACGCTTCGGCCGCGAATGCCTTTAAAGTTTGCATTTTAAACTTGAATTTCGCATGTCAAGACTGGGCCCGAAACCTTACAGAACACAGGCTGTCGACCGCTCTTTGCTGCTGCGCAACTCCTCCCAATCCAAGGTGCCATCTCCATCTGCATCCATCAGATAGAACAGTTGCCTCGTGGTTGGCAGGCATGAACACACTTTTGACATGCGAGCCGTGCCGGGACGTCGCAGTGCGATCTGTCACCAATAGTTCCTTTCGCGCCGATTGAATAGTTGATCTTCAGGACCGGGTGCTGACTTCCAGAGAACGAGAGGCATCAGCTTGTCCCAAACCCTCGACACTGACACCCTTACCAAGGCTCACCTAGAAGATACTCCGCTTTCTCTTGCAACTACGAGGTGCTCAAGCTCCTTGAGCTCTTTGCGCTTGACTTCTTCCATCCTTGGTGTCGGTGGCGATGGCATACTCTATGAGGCTGTGAAATTAAGCCGGAGAACATCATCATACTGACTTCTAACAATTCCAACGTAGTCACGACGTAGTCGTTTTCCGGGTGCATTGTCAGGGGACGTCTGCCCGAGGATTACTCTGCAGCGCAGCAGTTCTTTCTACAGATGCAGGACAATAATACTCAAGTTCTTGTTGATGTTTGCTTCCGGCTATTGGGGACTGAAGCAGGTTCAGGAAAGAACTTTCGAGTCGCTTTGTTGCCTCCTATCTAGACTTTACCCTTTTCAGCACGGACTGAGGTGCCGACCCTAAACCCTACATCCCCAATTTGAGTCGTCATACCTCGGGCTAGTGGTGACTTCAGTTCGATGCCTCGGAACTGCGTCTTGGAGTGCAGCTATGCCTCTGCTTCAACCGCTGGTCCTCGTCCATTCTGGAGGCGGACATCGCGTTTTCCACCTCAGATATGGGAGTTTCCGGGGGAGCCTGATATAGCACCGTAAAAAGAAGGATCCTCATTATAAGGACCCCAAAATAAGGTACCCTTAGCTTCACCTGAAAGCGATGTTAGCTATGTTAGCGATGTCTGGGCCATCTTGATCCGCAGAGTCTTCTTTCTTTTCGCCAACTGGGCTCCTGGCAATGATGGCCGTCACGAGGTTCATTAATACGAAAACCGCCACGGCCTCGGACACATGCGAGCCTGCACTGAGCTACTAAAACTCTTGGATTCGAAAATGGTGTGCAAGTGCTTGAACCCACAGCTCTGAAGCGTCGCCATCCAAGCTGAGGCCCTCGCAATGTACATATAGAAATATACCAAACATGTCGGCGTGAACCTGCCCACGAAGCGGCGTAGTAGCTTCGGAGCACTGAGCTTTTCCATGTGCAGGCTAGGGGCAGCATGATCCGTTCCATCTTGGAGTTCCATGAGTCAAGCGTCAAGAACTGGATAAGAAGCCTGAATCGGCAAGAATAGAGCCAGAAAGAATTCCGCCCGAAAAGCCAAGTTTCGAGAGCACCGCTGCCTGGGTAGCGCTCGCATATCCCTCCCTGCCAAGAAACTGCATCAGCGGAGCGATGCCCTGCACCATCCTATACGTCGGCTCCAACTGGTCCTGTCTTTCCTGTCACGTGACTGCACATGTGCCACAGGGCCCTTGCTCAAGTTGCATCTCCTCTTCCCACTGCTGCTGCTAACAAGATGAGGGCTGGTTGGCTAAGTCGCACATTTGCATCGTCATGAAGTAGCTCACAGCATCAGCTACGAGCCTGGTCCAGCATGGCGAAAGCCGCGGGGTCTCGCATTCCTCTGATCTCGTTGCTGATGAGCCAGCAGCCCAGAATAGCAAAAATGTATGTCAGCACCTTGGCCGAGACAGTCTGTGAAGAACAGGGGACCCTAATGTGGTACCCTAAATAGTAGGATCCTATAAGGGCCCCAAACTAAGCTACCCCCTATCTTAACGGAAACTCCCATACCCTCCACCTCCAGGACTTGATGTTTGTCGCGTCCCCGGAGCCGCCGTAAATGGCTTGGGATGGCTAGGGAATTCGGGTCATGGACTGAGACGCCGGCGAAAATAACCGCCACCGTCCAAATTAAGGTGCGCAGCGAGCTCGTCAACCCTCTGAGGAGGAGCCACACTTCCTGAAAAGGCACGAGGTGAGGCTCAGGCTGGGGAATGGAGGTTGTATCATACTGCGTGGACACGCTGCGAGACAGAGTGTCCATTTTGGCCCGAGAGTCTCTAAACATCGGCATTTGCTGGATGACGCGGACTATTCTCAGCAATCTCAAAGCTCGGAAGACAGAAAGCATCCGCATCTCTCCTGTTCTGATCACGGCTGTCATTCATGCGATGATGCAGCTTGTACTGGCCGGCAAGAATGACGGGACCGGAACAGTGGCCCACAACATGTCCTGCATAGAAGTCCGCCTCCCCCGTCAGGAGCAACACTAAAGGCAGAATCCAGCCAGAGAGTACGCCAGAGAGTACCACGATTATCGCCTTAATGCGCAGGCAGTGCCACTAACAACATCACCGGCTTTCACCTTCAACCTTTAATCTTTGGGATTTAGAATGCCCAATATAGTTCTCCAACTAAAGGAAACTGCGGATTAAAGCTGCTGTATAAGCCTAAGAAGTGTTTTCGTGTCCAATGCAGGAAGTGTTTTCGTCTCCAATGCAGGTCCGCGACGTCAAGGAAGTTCATCCAACCTCATCCGGAGATTCGTCACATGCGTTACACTCGGTTGACAGTGGCCTGTCTTCAAGTAACGCACTGCCCAGTGCAAGTCAGAAGCCTTCCAACCTAGTCAACGAAAAATACCATCGACCATACACGCGCAGTCGCGCATAAATCTCAAAGGTGAAGAGTGCCTTGGTGGCCAGATGGGAGTTTCCGAAAATTAGGGGTAACCATATTTTGGGGTCCTTGAAATAAGGATCCTACTATTTAGGGTATACTATATTAGGGTCCCCGATTTTCGGAAACCCCCTGATTGTGTTCAGTCTGGCACTAAAGCATGACGTGTAAAACGTCGAAATGGCTACATCCAGGCCCAAACACTTGCTGGCGCTACCTTGGCCAAGGAGCAACAAGAACATGCTCTATTATCCTCACAGAGAGGACAATGCCATCAGAATACTCCTCCTCCTCACAGGGGGCATCTCGCCAGTGTGTCTCACACCAATGTACAAAACACAACAACTAAGCCGGGTACATTGACCAACATGTCAGCTTGAAGACCCATCCTTGGTCACTACAAAGTAGAGCCGGTATCAGCTTCTGCTTCAACTTTAGTCCTTAATTCCTGGATTCCTGGCATGCCGAGTTTTAAAACAAGTCGATTGGGCTGAGAAGCATCCCAACTGGCCAATCGGGAACAATCGGGAAACCGTACCAACACCAGTTCCGGTCATGCGGGGCAAGACGCGTAAAGCAGTTGACGATGATGCAGAGGCTGTAGAAGATGTCGAAGAACTGTCAAGAAGTCAAGCAGGGCAATCCAATAGTAAGCCCACCGATGCAGCATGTCGTGGTATGATGCTCATCGCCGGTTGATGTTGCGTGGGCACCAGAGCTCGGATGCCCCTGCCTGATTCTGGACGAGACGGCCAAGTCGCGTCCGAGGGGTGTAGATGGCCGGCCTTCCCGCGTCGGCACTTGGACTTTCAGAGCCAGGACGACTCGGATGCTCCGGTCCCAGCGGCTAAGGTCTAGAGCAGTACGGCTCTAGAGCTTGATGGGGAATAACTAAATTCCGTGCATGCGATTCCCGAAAAGCGTGAGTACCTTTACAGTTTGCAGGCCATATGGATTGCGGCGACGTGGAATGCCCCTATGCCTCTGATAACTCTATACTTGATGAACTCCCGGCAGACCGTGTGAGTTTTGCTCGGTTCCAGCACGCAGCACGCTTTATGCTCTACACTCGGGCTCTGCCTCATCGTTTTGGTCTTTTGCTTGACCTTGCAAAGCGAGCAACATTCTCCTATGCTCTATGCAGGCCACAAAACGAACACTCGCAACGCCAGACTGACACAGAGAAAATGTGGTCGAGATCGCTCAAGATCTTGAACCAGCAGCTGACCAACAAGAACGACTTCCCCTGAGGGTTATCCCTTGATCGGGAAATGCATGTTGACATGTTCGATGATGCATGGATCCTGGTTTCTTCGATTCTCACATCTCCATCACAAACTCCGAAAGGACCTGCGAACGAAGTTCCAGCGAGGGATTCTAGATTCTAGACACGCCGGCAAAGCTTCTCAATGTGGATTGCAACTTGGCATGAAAAGACCCATGTCACGCCCTGCTCAAGCACGACACTTGCCATGCTCTCGGCCCAGCTAAGGACAGGTCCATCGATGGACTCGATGGACTGGACGGACTGGTAACGCCACTTGACCTTGGGTTAAGCAGCGCATGACAATGCATACAGGAATCCCAGAAAGGGACTCCGCCATGATGTGCCATGCCGACATTTTCTGGCCAAGGTTCGCATCGTCTACACCATCAGACCCGACTTTGATGTTAACTTCCTCGGATGGTCCTCGGTCGGATCATGGCCAAATCGGTGGTTCCCTACAGCTCCTGCGTTCCGGGGCCACTACGACTGCCGTGGGATACTGGTTCCAAATCCTGCGTAGGCACACACGAACTAAGCGACTTCAGACACCGACAGGAAGTGCGACATCTTCTGGTTCTGAAGACTGTCAGCAATCGTCATGGAAGACCGATCTGAGCAAGGGCATATCGAAAATTCGTATTAGAGTCTCTTGACCCCCTTTATAAGCATATACACAGCCGCATGCATGCGTATTTGTAAATACCTACACACACACAGACATGTATGTATATATATATATGTATACAGAACGCGTCAAAATACGGGCCTGCGTGTGTGTATAGTTATGTTTAGATTCTATGTTGTGTAAATGCTAAAAAGCCGTAACGTAACGTGACTATAAATACATTATATTATATTCAATGGAAGGGTAGATACCAGCAAATACTTTTTGAACAAAAACATTTAAGTGGACCGTTCACATTCACAGATAAATACATACAAAACAAACTGCAGCAGGGAGACATGGGACTGCTGGTGTCGTATGCGTGCACCGCGGGGCCGCGGGGGGCGGGCGAAAACAAAAAAATAACATAAAAATTATATCTATTTTTTTCTGTGTATATATATATATATATTTTGTTTTTTCCGCCCCCCCCCCCCCCCGCGAGATTGTATGCGATGGGTCTGGGGGGGGGGGCTGGGCACCGCACGAGGCCTGGGGGTGCGGGAGGGGAGCCCACCCCAAAAACCTAATGACCAGGCCTTCGCACTCCACCAAGTACTCCAAATCATGAACTCTTTTGACACCTTTGCATCAATACTAATGAAAAGACTTAACAAGCTCTAAACACTGAAACGGTTGAGAAGCCCCATCACTACACGGACATGTTGTCAGGCAAACCCAAAATAACTACAGGAAGATGTTGAACAAAAGCAAGTTCAGAACCCGAAACGTGACATGTTGGTTATCAAAAGTATGCATTCATGTCAACTAAGATGGAACATCTAAGCCCGAAAAGGTTTGTGATAATTTCAAACCTGAAAGAAAAGATTATGATGTTGTTTTCGTCGTACCCTGACTCCGGGGTGTCGACGAGGAAGACTCTCCTTAGCTGAGGCTGAAAGCCTCTACCTTAGCGGTAGACAACGTCCAAAAGCCCGCACCTTAGCCAGAAGGCCAGGTCTCGAGCACCCTCTCACTCAGAGAGATCTGCCCCGGACCGGAGCACGCCAGTGCTGAAAAACAGCTAGACAGCAGGCACAGGCACCAAAAGGGGCCCCAGGCTGTCAGGCTCACACGTCAGACTGTGGAGCCCAAGCCTTACGCTTGGAGCGCGAGGCCGCCTCAGCTTCTCGAATGCTGCCCATCTGCAGCAGTACGGCCTCGTCGCGTCCTCTGCCTAAGGCCCGAGCACACCAACCCAACCTACCTCCAAGGGCGGAAGCCGGCTCGAGGGATGCTTCGCAGGTGCGCCAACGCAGAGCACCTCCACAAGATGTGCTTGAGACTGGGAGTCTCGGCCTTGCCACAGAGCTCGCACCGATCTCGAATGGCACCGGAGGGCGTCCAGCGGGCATCTGTACTGCACCGCCCAGCCATGCAAGCGACAGCATGCCCAGGAAGCTTCATGGCCAGCTTATGCAAGCGGGCAACCAAGTGCCGGGTAATGACGAGGTCATCCGCCCTGGCTACCTCAGCATCAATGCGGTCTGACTGGAGCCAGGAGCGAAACTGCGCCAGCCTCCAGGACTCCCGAGAGGTGCAGTCCTCGGGTCCGGACCTGAGCCGGACTCCTTAGCGACAGTGTGCCAGCCTCACAAGCGAAGACTCCCCACTGACGGCCTATCCGCCATCCCCAGTGCACGCGAAAGCAAGCCACCAACCTGCGTGTTCTGAATCCGCACCCTGGCAGGTTCTCTTCCTGCCATCCCTTCCCCATCAGCCCACCGGCCCAGAGCAGTGAGAGCCCGATGCGAACTGATGCGGAGCATGTCACTTGACCAAGCAGCAAGACCCGCTGCAAAGGGCGGGAAGCTCTGTCATACTGAGCATCACTGCCTTTTACAGCAGTCCGAAATGTCGTGGCGTAAGTCTTACATTCCGGATCGGTAGGGAAGCGCCCATTCAAGAATGAGCCCCAGAGCCGCTTGGCAGCAAAGAGAATCGTAGCCAAGGTGCACTTGAATCTCTGAGAACACGGGAGGCATTGAAGCCTGCTAGCCACATAAGTGGCCTGAGCTTCCCTCTTGAGCTCCTCCTCACTGCGATCCCTGGGGATCGGCCCAATCGAGACGCCTACAGGCAACTGCGAAAGTCATGCCTTGGTCGTGCCCGGGTGGCCTTTCCCCATGTAAGCGCATGATTCAAAAAGTCTCGACAAGTCGTACCCGGAACCCTTTCCCCCATCTAAGCGCATGCATGCAAGGGTTGTCGGGGTCATACATGGTCAACTTTAAACGTGCAGCGCTCACGTCAGCAGTGCATTTTGCCTAGACAATCCTGCATTACAGCTCCAGATTTGCATGATGCCCAGTCTTGCATCAACATCAGCACGGAGACCTTTCCCCATGTAAGCGCTTGATTTAAATGGTTTCAGGAGTGACGCAAAAAACAGCGGCCGAAAACCTCTTCCCCGATGTAAGCGCGTGCATCTAAGGGTTGTTAGAGTCCTACATTGTCAACTTTCAACGTGCGGCGCTCACATCGGCATTGCATTTTGCCTAGACAACTAGGCAATCTCGCACACAGCTCCAGATTTCCATGATGCCCAGACCTGCAGTAGTATCAGCACGGAAAGCCATTCCCCATGTAAGCGCTTGATTTAAAGTTGTTGCAGGAGTGACGCGAAACACAGTGGCCGAAAACCTTTTTTGTTGGAGTCTTACATTCTCAATTCTAAACGTGCAGCGCTCAGATCGGCAGTGCCTTTTGCCTAGAAGTCCTGCAGTGCAGCTCCAGACATCCATGGTGCCCAGACCTGCAGTAATATCAGCACCGAAGGCCTTTCCCCATGTAAGCGCTTGATTCAAACGGTTTCAGGAGTGACGCGAAAAACAGTGGCCGAAAGCCTCTTCCCCGATGTAAGCGCATGCATCAAAGGGTTGTTGGAGTCTTACATTGTCAACTTTCAACATGCAGCGCTCACATCGGCAGTGCTTTTTCCCTGTGGCGACTGCCAAACCCTGCACTTATTTGGTGTTTACATGCTTCCAACGTGTTGAAAACATGGCTTGAAAACACTGCACTTGCGACCGCTTAATGGAAGCTCAAGCATGCTTGTTCAACGTGCCTCCGCAAAATGTTTTCCCGCATTGTCTTGTGGGTTTCAGTCGTCGACAGGCGCCACCACCAAATAAAGCTTCCCCGCATTGTGCCGCATAGAAGGAGTTCTTACTCCTACGCGGCTTTGTCCTTGCATTTCGCATGTTGGATGCTTCCCGGCTTCCCCCATCTGCACACACGCAACGACTAGGGTCGCTGCAAAGTCCTTGCGTTTACCGTTCCCGCAAGGGCACACTTCCCGCACACCGTCCCCCAAGAGTGAAGAACTCATGTGAAAGCCCGCGTGTTGCTGTTCGTTTTTGCAGCCTTCTGCAAGTGCACACCGCCGGGGACAGGTGAAGAACGGACCCTAATATGCATGCAGTTATACCTGCGTGCTGCAGTTCGTGATTGCACCCTTCCGCAAGTGCACACGTGGGGAACGGACCCCGAGATGCATGTACTTAGTCATGATGTTCTATAGGGGTCCCATGGAAGCCTCCCGTGCGCTCCCAAACCCGCGTACCGAGCATAGATCTTCAAGCCGCTGCTGCGCGAACCCCAAGCGCACGTATCGAGCGTAGATCTTCAAGAGGCTGCAAACCCTATATAATGTTGTATTTCTTCTCCATGAGCTGTTTTTCGGGAAATTGCATGCAGGTTGACCGATACCCGTTTCTAATTGAAGCCGATACCCCGACCGATACCTCCACATGTGATTTCAAGGCCTTGGCCCACGTAGGTCCTGTTCCACCTCGATTTGGAAGCGTTTCCGCACAGCAAGCTTACGGAGCACTCATCTTAAAGTCTCAAAGTGTCCCCGTGTCCCCCTCGCAGGATGCACGGCTAATTAAAGCCGCAAGTGCATGGAGCCGACGCGTGGTGCCGCACGAAACAACCAAACCATTGCGTACAAGTACACCTACATACGATTTCGGAAGCTGACTTGGTCCCCGCGCGAAGTCACAAGCATGCTCGCGAGGCATACATCAATCACATCAGTGGCATCATAGCACACACAAGCCAACCAATCCCCATGTAGACGCCCGATTTCGCATGCGGAGTTGGAGGAGAAAGAGCCCGTGAGCTGCTTGGAGTTACATCGGCATGTGGAGCTGCTCCTGCCGAGCCTCACTGTCTTGTCACATACACCATCAAACCACCAGCCCAAACCTTAAGCCATACCAACCGGCTTGCGAAACCTGATACGACAGGTGCTGAGCACAAGAGTGCGCTGAAGGGAGATAGATGTGTTGATTCCCGACCAAACAGAGTGACCGGGACCCCTTTTCGATAGCAGCAGAAGATAAAGGAAAGTCGCTTGTGAAAGCAGAAAATCCTGCTATTCCGCACCACTGAAACCCGGAAGCCTACGCCGAAACACATCAGTGGAATCGCAGCAAACGGAAAAGCAAAACCAACCTTTCGCCATGTAGCGGCTCGATTTCGCAAGCGCTCGCTCAAGAAACACATCGGCGGCAGCAAATCAAAACCAGCCCATCCACATGTCCACATGTAGACGCTCGATTTCACAAGCAGCCGCTCAGAAAGACATCAGTGGCATCGCAGCAGACACCAAATCAAAACAAGCCAATTGCCAAGTAGACGCTCGATTTTGCAAGTACCTACGCAAGAAACATATCAGTGGAATCGCCGCAGCCATTCGCCGTGTAGACGGTCGATTTCGCACGCCACCACCTCGAAGCGTAAGTGCCATCACAACATATCCAAATTCAAGAAAAGACCGCGCACGGCACTGCATCGCGTAGAAACTAAGGACTGGAGAAGGGAACAAAGATATGGAAAATTAGCCCAAACCCTGCGGCACGTGGAGTTGGGGCGACTTCGCCCCGGCAGGAACGACATAAACCTACCGATCCTACCGCTAATAGCGGATTGTGTGGCTTGACACTGTGCTCCCGCAAGGTGACGCTGCACAAACAAGCATGCAAGACATCATCAAAGAAGTGGATTGCAAGGTTTGGCAATATGTTATTTGCAAGGTGAAGCTGCACAAACAAGCATGCAAGACGTCATCAAAGAACTGGATTGCAAGGCTTGACAATGCGTTTCCGCATGGTGATGCTGCACAAACAAGCATGCAAGACGTCATCAAAGAAGTGGATTGTATGGCTTGACAACGTGTTTCCGCAAGCTGACGCTGCAAAACAAAGCATGCAAGACGTCATCAAAGAAGTGGATTGTATGGTTTGACAGCGTGTTTCCGCAAGGTGGCGCGAGATTGTTGCGACTTTCGGGGGTGCGTGTAGGGCAGGCACCAAGCAGTACTGTTGGAATCGCAAATAGCAGCTGCACACTGGGTGGAGCATCTAGGAGAAAAAAGCATGTCCGAGGATCCCGATTGATGCGGTTTAGCGGAATCCCCAACTGCACACAGGACCTGGGACGACAGGCCTGTGCCCTGCAGCAAACAAACACCGCAGATCATCATCTTGGAAACCGTGCCACGGCAAAATGTTTTCCCGCATTGTCTTGTGGGTTTCAGTCGTCGACAGGCGCCACCACCAAAAAGCTTACATAGAAGGAGCTCTTAGTTTGTTTTCATGGTGCCGCCGCAATATGCTTCCCCGTCTTATTCGGCCAATAGATTTGACAGCACCGGTAACTCACAAATGTGTTCCTTTCGCCGGTTGCCAAACCACTCCGAACAGCAATCGTGAGCGGTTGGGGGGGTGAGGCGTGGGTTTGGGGGAGTGGGAGTGGGCTGGTGGTGGTGGGGTGGGGAGTGGGGGCAGGGGTGTTGGTAGGGTGGAGGGGGGTGGAGCAGGGTGGGGTGGGTGGGTGATAGTAGTGGGGGGGTGACCCGTGGGCTCCATCCACAGAACCCTAGGATTTCAATAATTGAAATAATTGAAATAATTGAAATGGGGCCGATTTCAATTATTTGGGCCCTTTGGCGGATTTAAATAATTGAAATAATTGAAATCCGAAGGTTCGATGGGCCCAAGCCACCAAAACCAGGGATTTGAATGAAATAATTGAAATGGGGGGGATTTCAATTATTTCAATTATTTGGGCCCTTTGGCGGATTTAAATAATTGAAATAATTGAAATCAGCCGGATTTCAATTATTTCAATTATTTCAATAATTTCAATAATTCAAATCGGTGGGATTCGTGGCTTGGCCCAGAACAGCCATCGATTTCAATTATTTCAATTATTTGGGCCCTTTGGCGGATTTAAGTAATTGAAATAATTGAAATCCGAAGGTTCGATGGGCCCAAGCCACCAAAACCAGGGATTTGAATAATTGAAATAATTGAAATGGGTGGGATTTCAATTATTTCAATTATTTGGGCCCTTTGGCGGATTTAAATAATTGAAATAATTGAAATCAGCCGGATTTCAATTATTTCAATTATTTCAATAATTTCAATAATTCAAATCGGTGGGATTCGTGGCTTGGCCCAGAACAGCCATCGATTTCAATTATTTCAATTATTTGGGCCCTTTGGCGGATTTAAATAATTGAAATAATTGAAATCCGAAGGTTCGATGGGCCCAAGCCACCAAATCCAGGGATTTTAATAATTGAAATAATTGAAATAATTGAAATAATTGAATTTCAATTATTTCAATTATTTGGGCCCTTTGGCGGATTTAAATAATTGAAATAATTGAAATCGGCCCCATTCCAATTATTTCAATTATTTCAATAATTCAAATCGGTGGGATTCGTGGCTTGGCCCAGAACAGCCATCGATTTCAATTATTTCAATTATTTGGGCCCTTTGGCGGATTTAAATAATTGAAATAATTGAAATCAACTCTGCTGATTTCAATTATTTCAATTATTTCAAATAATAGCAGTCATACAGGAAAGAATAGAGCGTAAAATAGACCCTAGAGTTGCCTCTCTCATATATATATATATTTATATGTATGTATGTATACATGGCAAACCCGTAAAAACCCGTCTGTATGTTTACATATATATATATATATGCTATACCTGTCTAGGCGAAGATTTAGAGCTTGTGGTCACTGCGACCACTGCAAAGGCCTCCGTCCCCTGTGAAGTCTTGGAGCGGAGCGAGCCTGACACCGCAAGGCAGCTGATTTCCAACTTCCCGTGCAGCACGTGAATGCTTCTGTCTGTGTATGCACAAACGTGTTTCAGTATACCAGTTTCTGGGTTTTTGACGCTCACACTTGGCAATACCAGGCGAGGTCTGCAGACGACCGGGGAATCAACCAGACAGGGCGTGTACCTGTCGGCTTGGTTGTCATACCGGGCAGTCTAAGCCAACGACAAATCTACAAGCATAGGATTCTGCCGGACTACATAACGTTGGAACTTTTGTCGTATAAGTGCATAGATGACACGTAATTCACGTACAACCAACACAAATATATGTATGTGTTCATGTATGCACAAATATACAGCATGCAATACATTTATAGTAAATCAGATGTTGCAGACCATAGGCTTTCATTTTCATGATGCACCATATGCTGCATTTTGATGTCATACTCCGTATATGCCAGATGTCTGTCAAGTTTGCCTACACTATGTCGTATACCATGCATACGAAATCTTACGCCTGTTGCAGAATGCTAACTACACTATTTTATGCCACATGTTCTCGCATATTTGTACTACATTTCGGGCTGCAAATTGCAGGTTCAGTGTTACATCCTCTGCAATAAAACATTTCCACGTGGCTCTAATTATACCATGCTTAGTATATTCTAGATAATGTGTTCGGTACGGTGTCATTTGTGGTTTACATGTGAAGTTTTATAATTGTGTAAGTTTACCATTCTCTATGTGTTGCTTGTTACATATTGTCGTGTCGCGTAATGGTTTTATACATATTGTCAAGTGCACTGCATACAAATCCATTTGGACATGTGCAAACGCCAACACGAAGCAACTTCACATGTGGCAATGTACGCCTATTATATTGACACCCCAGCATGCTGTACACGCAAGTTGGCTCATCTGCGTATACTCATATATATATACACACACATACACCACAGATATGTATATATATATATGTATGTAATGCGTGCACATGTTTGTACATATGTATATACATATACATATCAATGTGCGCATGCATCCACATCTCGTTACTCAGTACACAGATAAGCTAAATCAGATGACTGCACATGCGTGCTATACCCAAAACCCTCTTACTGAGATGGCACGACAAGAAGTGGCAGCAGGGTGTGAAACGTGTTTACAGTTTAAACATGTATATACATATGCAAAAACACGCATGTGAACAGACGAACAGAGAAGTCAGTATACCAAAAACAGCACATCACATGTATCAACAGATAATGCTAGACGGTTATAGCCATAGGTTATAACTCATGAGCTGTAGTTAACTATATGAGAACACGCTCCTGAGTAGTTCCTTGACAGGCAGGTACACACACAGATACACTCATGTGCTGCAACCCCGGTGCCAACACACGGACAACACATCTGGTCTAGGTGATGCGGTTGTTGCTCAAGGGTGTGGTGAAATGGCACATCGGCTTGGCATGAGTTTGCTCTGGACACCTGTCTCCAGGTGCGACATGTGATTGGCATTCGTTGGGATAGCGCAAACCAGAATGATCCCGCCAAGGCTTGCCAGCTTGCAGGACGCGGTATCTACGTCCTTGAAGTATTGGAGACGTGCCGAGACGTGCCGGCGGTTCGATGTTTTGTAAAGTAAGTGCCTGCCATTTCGCGGAAGGCTGCGCGTGCACTGAGCCTTATTCCTGTACTTGCTCTTGTCAGATCCGCATGCCGCGCCGTCTGTGCATCTGCATGGACAGGTTGGGGTCGAACCGAATCCTCTGTGAAAGCTTCCTTGATGGATGGACGCAGCATCAGAGCGTGGACCTAAGACTACTTGCTCAAATCTCGATTTCTAGTCTTGACCGAGACTTCCTCCGCAAAGATTGTCTTCTGTTGCATTTCCCTTGACTTCGGGTCCATGCTTGCGAGTTGCGGGGATGACGAGGGCAACGTTCGCGAATGCAACAATCTTGGACTATGCCAGGGCTTGGTTGATCTGCTACCCTCTGTCTTTCCAGCAAGACAGGTGCAAAGATCTCGGGAGTTTGGAGGAAGGAGATCTGGAAGTTTCCGAAAATAGGGGACCCTAATATAGTATCCGAAATAGTAGGATCCTTATTATGAGGACCCCTAAGTAACTAAGGTACCTTTGTTTTCGGAAACTCCCATCTGGCAAAGAACCCGGCAAGCAACCCTCACTGGCAAGCCTTGCATGCGCTTCGACTCCACTGGTGGGCCAAAGTCCTGCAAATGGATGACTTACCCTTGGTTAGTAGGGAATGGAAGAATGGTAGTAATGGTAGTTATAATTGTACCCCATTCCTCCATTCCCTACTACCCTTGGATGAGATTCTTTTCAGTCAAAGAGATCAGTAAGACCCCTTGTCACAGCGCAGCTCCTCAAGAACACAACCAGACATCGCAGGACCTAAACAGCCGGACAGCATGTTGGAAACCTGCGGCTGCTTGCGTTGCATATGGGTGGCTGTCAAAATGAGGGTCCCTGTTTGGGTCCCTAATTTTGTACGGCACCAAATATTTAGGGTACCCAAAAAGGGACGATAATTTTGACAACCACCCATATGATCATGCAAGAGCTTGCCACCAGGCATAGTTCCTGTGTGGCAATCTGGAAATTTCTCGAAGAGCATCCAAGTCCTCCTCTCGAATCCCGGGAGAGGCTTCGGATTCCGAGGGGACCTCCTCCAGGAGTAGGGTCCCTGCATGCCTGGCTGCTTGCGTTAGCGGGCTCGTCGGTTTAGGGTTTAGGGTTTTGGGCTTAGGGTTTGGATGAACTGGAAAGCATCACAGACACAAGGAGCCATCAGGCTGAGCTAGCAATGACAGTCTTCCGCCAAGTTACGGCGTCTGCTTCCTGTTCGAGTGGCCTTAGATGCTTCGGAGTCTCCTTCTAAGGAGGTGAGCGACAGGGAACAGAAAGCTCTCTTACAAAAAGATTGAGAATCAGCACCCAAAGACTGCCATACTCTCTCAAAGATTCGTGGAACAAACATAGTGCCACAGCACGTAGCACCATGCCCGGTGGGCAACAACGAACAACAGCATAGCACAGGAGCAACAACGGCCACCGCCCCCACAACAAGGACGGCGTAGTTCAAGCACCACGCAAATATCACGTCCTTCAGGTACAAGGCAGTGAGTAACCAGAGCAGACAGAAGAAGAGCACACGTTGAGACAAAGACAACCGCGACAGCCGTTGCTTCATAATGCAGTGTGGTGGCACTTGGCCAAACTAGTACTAGCACCAGTACTAGAACTGCTTGTGCTAATGCTAGCGCTAGTAGTGGTAGCAGTAGTTGTTGTTGTTGCTGCTGTTGCTGCTCCCTCAGCAAGCCCATGGTATCGTAGTTTTGTCGGACGCTCTTGGAGGCAAGTCAGACCGACTCTCATCCGAAGGACGAAACAGCAGCAACGCGCAGGCCGAACACATGTCTTTCGATGAGCTGCGTTTGGCTTTGAAGGCACCACCACTCGAAGACGCATTCGACCTGGGCGGACGAAAATCAACGAGCATGGCCAGAAACAGGACAAGCAGCCCTGACAATGTCGCGACTGCTGCCATCTGCCAAGGGGCTCCAGCTTCGTGCTGAGACCGGGATCTGCGCCAAACAATTTGTCAAGATTCGAACCCGTGACGAATCTTTGCGTGGTCTTCTCACGTCTCTAACAGAAGGACAATAGCTTCTGGCATGTTATTTCGACATGAAATCGGCGTAGGCCAACTGCAGCGGAGCCTCCAGCAACGCCAGTGTCGAAGAGTGGTGGAGCTAGCTCGGCCGCTAGCTCGCTAACTCTCGGGGCACGAGAGTGCCTTCAGGTCTGCCAACACAAAGGAAAGGTAATGACAGTGGAGTGTAGAAAGCAGGTGCACCACGTAACTCTAGCAGCTAGCATGTAATGACAGGCTGAGCTCGCAATCTGGGTCATCTGTGCAAACGCAAAAAGCTGTTGCTCGAACGCAAGAGGCGGGTGCCCTGCCTGTTCGCAGGTCCCAGCAAGTTGGAAAACGGGTGCTGGGAACCGAAAACCTGCCTCAGAAAGATTGGTGATGGACGAGAAGCGCTAGGCTCGAGCGCAGTTCTGGTGATGAGCTTACACGCTAAATCAGAGATGGCAAGACTGCAAACTCGTCTTCGGGGAATGACTCTGCGCGGCAGTGACTTATTTAGGCTTTACCGTCATTGGCGAGTTGCTCATGCAGGTCCTGCGACAGCCTGTCCAGTTCCCAAGCCACCACATCTTTGATCTGCTGCATGCGCATGCTCGACCATTCCTGTCGCGAGTGCGAGCAAGTCGCATGCTATCAGGTAAGCAACTTGCTGTCGTAGGTACTGCCCTCTCCCCTATGTGACTATGTCCATTCTCTGCACGTTGCTTAGCTATCCGTTCGTGTATTCAGACTCTTCCTTTTCGTCCTGAAAGCCATTTCAGAGAGGGACAGACACCACAACTCCCCAACAACCGTCCAAGTAACCCCAAGCTTATCCATAACCCCTGAAAGCCCGGTCCCAAGCCCAAAAGCTCTGAATTCATCTAGGGCACCTGGAAGAGATCCCGCTGACCAGAGCTGCTCCCACTCTCGCGGGGTCCCATCCGGGCCTTTGCCGCTCGTAGCTCATCCTGCAAACACTGGCGTTTCTTCCCCTACCTGAACTGTTGTGGGAGGTCTATGCTTAGGGCTCATCTCTCTGTCTGTTGCCAGGATTAGGGCGTGACGCCCCGGCTGCAGGAGGGACTCTCCTTGTTCTGGTGTTGGCCGGCGAACTGTCGCTCTGTAAGACTGTAACAGGGGTAATTTTTTTCGAAGCCAAACCGAGTCTCCGTACTGTTCGTCTACATACGCCTTCAATTACAGGCGATGACATTACCGTCGCGCACACATACAAGACTTGCCGTTTCGTTTGGGGGGCTTTCTTGGTCGGACCCGAGCTCATGGGTGGTTGTCAAAATTAAGGCCCCTTTCGGTCCCTAATATAGTACGGCGCCTAATATTTAGCGTACCCAAAAAGGGACCCTAATTTTGACAACTACCCAATCTGAAACAGGAAAAGTGAAAAGAGCTCGGTGCCGAAGGACGGGATCCGCTGCGCTGGACATGTGCGGAGACAGCAAAGAGAGGCTAGCAAGAATACTAATAATCTCTCTTACTATTATTGTTATTATTATTAGTATTATTATTAGTTTTTGTTCTTGTCGTTATTGTTATTATTAGTAGTACTAGTAACAATACTAATGACCATAATAATAAGAGTAATGCAGGCATAGCAACGCTATTGCAGGAACCTGATTAAGAAACCCTGGGCTTGTAAACCCGAAAATAGTAGGAATCAAAGAAGGAACGCGAAAAAAGGCCCAAGGTTTCTTGATCAGGTTCCTACGTTAGCAAGCATCATTTTTCTGGAATCTGGCCGCGTCATCAAGCACAGAGGCATGTTTCGGCGCATGCATTCTCGCGGTTTGTTCTGCGAGGGTTGCCAAGCTCCCCGTTGACCAGTTCCGCGTGGGATCCAACCGACAATTGACGATCAAAGAACAGCAATACAGCGCAGAAGGTATCGGGAAGCAACGTCTGCATTGCAGCGTGCGACCTGCATTTTGCAGGGCCGTATGGCATTACCGCAGCTTAGCTACACAGCTGCACAAAGCCTGATGCCACCATTTGCACGCAAATGGCTTTTGCGGTAGTGTGAATGTATGACAATGTATGCACAAACAGGTGAAACTCTTCAAAATGCATTTAAAAGACCAGGTTGGATCTCGACGAGCAGCCTTTAAGGTGGCTCCATCTCAATCTCTGGAGGCAAATCATCTGGCCGGAGGGGTGCGGCCAACGTGTTTAAGTCTTTGGGCCGCATACTCCTGCTGCGAAACTTGGCCTTTGAGATCGATCTCGTCATATGCTGGCAAAACTCCGCAAACTGCTGCTGAAGCTCGTTGTGAAAATCTTCGAAGTGCCGCAGGCTCTCGTCCTTGAGCTCGCCAATCATGTTTTGCAAGGCTTTTGTGGCCAAGAGCGAGGCCACTGTATCGCTCTTGTTGATTTCGCCACGGATTTTCAAGAGACCCTGCAGAAGCTCTGTGATTTGAAGCGTGCCACTGCCATCTGCATCGATAATCTCGAAGAGATTAGCACGATCTGGCGGCAGATCAAGATCATCCATGAGTTTCTGCACACCTGGGGGTTTCCGAAAATCGAGGACCCAAAATTAGGTACCCCTACTCTTGAGAAACTCCCACCTCGATCTTGAATGACGAGCAGGAAGAGCTCCTTCGTGATCTCAACCTTGTCCTGCAAGCCTTCCTCTGTGAAGAGCATGTGGGAAGGCAACTTGTCTAGTTTGCCCTTGCCGTCCTCCTCGTTGAATACATGGTAGGCTCCAGCAAATTTCTTCAGCAACTCACGCGTAGTTCGGGCGACACGGATGGACTCCCTCGCATGCTGTTCAGCAGTAACGGCATCGTTCTCCTTCGCAGCCTTCATCGTGATATCAACATAGACCGCCAAGATTACATTGAATATCCCCATCGTCACGAGCATGTAGCTGATAACGTAGAACAGAATGAACCTGCACTTTTCCATGGACTGCAGATTGATGGTTCTGTCATGTGCTGTATGCCCCGACATGCTCACAACCGAGCTCCGGACGGCAATCCGAATGCATCTGCGAGCAAGAAGTTTATTGGCTCCCCTCGTCTGTTCACGCACTCCCCGTTAAAGCACCGGAAGGCTGTGAACATGGCAGCCGGAATGTTGTAGAAGTATTCCTCCAGTTCCAGCTCTTTGGTCCTGGTGTCGCTGCCTATTGTCATAGTAGCGAAACCAGAGATGACATACAACACGGCGAAGAGCAGGAGGAAAGCCAACGTTAGGGTTCGGATGCCCGCAATGAGGCCTTTGACCATGAGGCGCAAGTCTTTCATGAACTTGATGCGGAAGACCTTGTCCGGTAATATAAGGGCCTCAATAATTAGAATAGGGCTTGGGGGCCCATTATGCTATAACTATACTAAGGAACCCCCACCATAATATTGGTAATTAACTAGATCTCGATTTCCCGCAAGAGGTATGCAGCTACTGACTCGGAGACAGCACGCCCTTATGAGCCCTTTGCGCAGCTAACCGCTAGTGGAATGGCAGTCTTGCGCACCAACTAAACCCACCACTGTCTTTCATGCCCGGTGACCTTGACTATACGAACCAAGCGAATCAGTCGGCAGAATCGCAACAGCGATGCCCCTGCAAAAGCCGAATCTTCTTCTCCAACCAGCTGGACTGTGATGTCTAAGATTCCAGTGGCAGCAAGGAAGAGATCAAACCAGTTCCACCAACGCTCAGTGCCACACCAGTAATTCCGACAACGCAGAAGGTGCATACGCAAAGCGATTTCCAACAGCAAGAAAGCTGCAAACACAAGTTCGACATAGGTCCAACCCGACCAGTCGTCAAAACCAGGCTCGGTCTGCAAACCAATCATGATGCCGTTGCCGACGATGAGAATGGCCACCAGCGGCTCAATGTACATGAGGGGATGGACCGGCTCTGGTGGAGCTGCGAGATCGTTAATTCTCACGAATGTCAATTCTGCAACAAGCCTGTTCGTATCCCCAGCCAAGAGGATCTCCTTCATGGCTCTGAACTGGTTCAGAAGTCTCGGTCCAAACATTCTTTTGTGAACATCTGCCTCCTGTGAGAGGAAAATCTCCATGATGGCTTGGGCCGGCACGACGTTGAAACTACTCCGGGGCACCACCTCTGCCCAGTTATTCATGTGCCCGGTGACGCTTCGACGCATGGCCGCTGCGCCCAGAGCCGCATCAGTAGTCTTCTCAGGCCACTGCCAGACCGGGTGGCCGTACGCCCGAGAATCCCGCTTGTGGAAGAAGAAGAGTTCCAAGTCGTCACTTTTTTCCCTATCCTCCTTCTCCGGAGTCATCTCCTCTTGCTCAAAGGAAAGACTGATAAAGTCTGCCAGAGCATTCACCAGATCATTCATGTCCTGCTCCGTGTACCTTGTCAAGCCCAGAGATGTCACCGCCTCGAGCAGCGACTTCCCAGAGACCAAGGTCTTCGAGGACAGGGCTCCTAAGCCGCTCAACGTCTATTATTATTATTATTAATAATTATTACTATTATTATCATTATTGTTATTATTATATATTATTACTATTGTTATTAATGTTAATATTTTCTTTGGCTCCCGCAGTCTACTGTTGTTACTTTAGATACTATTGTTATTATTTTTGTTATTGATGGACTCGTATTATGATTTTTAAATTGAAAAACCCCAGAACCAAAAGCTATAAAAACTTTGTAAAACCCTGTGAAACTCGATAAGACCCTCCCCCCCTCTCCTAAGCGAACGCGCAGCCGATGGCGAATCGCCATGGCTTCCTCTGCCTTCACCCCAAGCAATCCGGAACCTTAGTTGCTGAGTCCATAAGGCCCAACAAGTGTACACTTTCAGTTTTATGGTGGGTAGTATTATCCCAAAAAATGTAAAGTGTATCTACTCAGCTACCATGGAACGCAAATACTGCGAGGACCTGCCGTGGAAGATTTTGGGACTTTCTTGGATGCCTTCCTCGGATGGTGTCAGGGAAGAGTTCCTGCCAACAGACAGATCTGTCTGTTCTGTTTGGCTTGAGACACCTCTTTCCTTGGATGGGAGCAAATGCTCGACCTTCTTCCATGCAGCTATTTCGAATGGATCGTCGGCATCCTCGTCGATGTCAGTGTCTGCCTTCTGCTTCGTGCTCGCAGGTGTGACTGGTGTGTTCTCACCTGCACCTCTCCCTGCATAGGCATCCAGCAGCTGATCTCTGAAATCCTGCAGCGATGAATCGAGAAGCGCGGCAAATCGATCCCTGTCCATGGCTCAGGCATGCCCTGCCCCTTCTCCGTGTCTTCTTGAGCGGCTGAGGCAACCACGACCCAGTGAGCACCGGCCGAAAAAAGACTTGCCTGCTAACCCTGTTGTCGCTACGCGCACAAAGTCTCAGCAGATGCATACTTGGACGTGTCACAGGGTGCGTGCATCCAGCATCCTCAATTCTGAACCCATCACGACTCACGACAGCCGACTGACAACACACGACTCAGGGTCCTCCTTGTTCTCGCCAGGCTTCATGCTCCAAAGCCGAAAAAGCTGCAGTGTTTCGGTTTGCAGCTGCTACCATGCGCTGATGCAAATGACTGCTGTTGTGCCGTTCCTGCGGCTGCATCACCAAGACTGGACATGAAAAAGCTCGAATGACGGATCCTGACGCAAAGCACGGGTCCTAACATGTAGCAGTGCCTCAACTTCGAGACCGCTCCTCCTCACAAATATCGGATCTTGCAGCGGCCCGTGCAACCTTGCCTGACTCACAGCGCCCGCAGGCTTCGGGGGCTGAAGACTGAGGACCTGCTAGGCTGCTAGCACCGCACCTGCACCCGCTGCTCTTGAGAGGAAACAGCAAGAAGAATCCAGACGAAAGTCCCAAGTTCGGATGCAGCTTTGCATGATGCTCTCAAATTGCAGTGCCTTAGCTTCCGCATCCAGCAGCACGTGCAAATCAAGACGTGTCATGAAGGCGGGCTGTTGCTGTGTGAAGTCAGTGGCAGATTGCTTCCTACAGCAGTGTCGTAACGCCATCACGACCAATCCAAGCTGGATCGCATGTGATCGGTGGGAAAAACGTGCACGCATTGTCATTGTCAGGTCTCCTTGCGACGTACTTGGATCACACAGAGATGTGCTAGGAAAACCTTTGTGACACAATACGTAAATAATTGTTGGTGACAGTGACAGTCACTGACATTGTCGTTCACGGGCACGCCAGCTACCGTTGACAACCGCTGCACTCAGCATCCAGGGACCATCTGCCTGACCCCACATGTCATTGCGTGCAGATGCGTGCCAGTGCATGACAGCAGAGGACTGAGGAAAGCAGAACGATGAACAGCAACATTTTCCGGCGGAGGTAGGAACTCGCAGCTGCAACGACTTTCAGGTGAAACGCCACTAGACAACTAGATGGGCTGAACAATGTCTAGGCCACAGATGATCGCTGACATTTTGCAGTCGATCAGTCGATTGGTCGGAGAATAGAATAGTTAGGCGTGTTTAGACACATCTTAGTGTCTCGGTTTTGCGAAAGAGCCCGTGCTGCCATGAAGAGGTGGGGCACTGCACTTAGCACCGAATTTGCAGCACCGTCTTCGATGGTCAGCGAAAGCAAAGCCGCACTACAAGGCAAAACTTCTTCACTCTGCTACACTGGCACACAGACTTATAGGGATCAGGGCAGGCTTTGCGCACGGGGAAAATTCAATGCTAGAGTCAGCAAGCCGTAAAGGTTCGGAACCGGAATCCGTCTTCATTCTCACGCAACGGGTGGTGCGGTTTCCACATCTTCAATGCACGCCTCGGGCTTCGATGGCATCCCAACCTGATCCAGACCGAGAACAGGGATCGGGCCGTCGAGCTTCGCGGGGGAAGATGCGTTTTTTGTGATTTCTGGTGTCAGCGGGAGCTGCTTCAGCTTCCAGAAGCTGGCGAGATACCGGGCGAACTCCGCCCTCATCGATTTCAACTCTTTGAGCTGCTCCTCTTTCAGTTCGCTTAGCATACTGAAGACAGCTTTGGTCGCCAATAGGGAAGCCACCGTGTCACTCTTGCTGATCTCGCCACGGATTTTTAAGAGGCCTTGCAGAAGCTCTGTGATTTGAAGCGTTCCACTTCCGTCGGCATCGATGATCTCGAAGAGGTTGGCGCGATCGTGAGGCAGATCTAAGTCATCCATGAGCTTCTGCACCCCACGGTCCTGCACGATCAGAAGGAAAAGGTCTTTGGTAATTGCAATCTTGTCGTGCATTCCGTCCTCTGTATACAAGGCTCTGGCAGAGGAGGTATTGACCTTTGCCTCCGGATCATGCTCGTCGTGCGGTGAACCGTGGTGGTGGTTCTGATGGGGTTCATGAAATGAGTGATATGCTGCGGCAAACTTTTTCAGGAGCTCCCGCGTCGTCCGGGCAACTCGGATTGATTCACGTGAGTACTGCTCGGCAGTGACTGCATCGTTCTCTTTTGCAGCTTTCATCGTTATATCAACATAAACCGCCAAGATCACGTTGAAAATCCCCATCGTCACAAGCATGTAGCTGGCAACATATCCAGCTATGAAAGGCAGCCCAAACCTCGACGCAAGCAAGGAGTGGATGGGCCTGCCATCGTCGTTTACACACTCTCCAGTGAAACACCGGAAAGTGGTAAACATAGAGTTGGGAATGTTATCAAAATACTTGGTCAGCTCAAGGTCATCTGTGATTTCGCTGCTTCCTATTGTCATGGTTGTGAAGCCGGAGATCACATATAAGACTGCGAAGAGTAGGACGAAAGCCAAGGCAAGGGTCCGGATGCCTGCAAGCAGGCCCTTCACCATCAGCCGAAGATCTTTCATGAACTTGATGCGGAAGACCTAGCAGGGGAGGTTGACTGCAGAAAGCAACCGCTAACCGCTAAAACCTTGGGGATTTTGCACTTCGGGAGCCTTCACTATCCGAACTAGACGAATTAAGCGGCAGAATCTGAGTAGCGAAGTGCCCGCCATGCCAGACTCTTGGTCGTCGAAAAGCTGGATGGCGATGTCCGATAAGCCCGTACACATCAGGAACAGGTCAAACCAATTCCAGAGACGCTCAGATCCGCACCAGTATCCAAAGCATCCCAACACATACATTCGCAGGCACACTTCGAGAATCAGACCTGAAGTCCATCAGGCATCAAAGGCGCACACGAATTTTAGCGGGTAGAGCTGGGGAAACTAGAGCCGCAGCCCAGGATTCAGAAAAGAATCGAGAAAGTACGACAGAATCTTGGAACCCCGCTGGCCAAGGCACCCAATACCTACGATTCAGACAAGCCTCAATTGCAACGATACTGATATAGCTCTTACAACACACGTGTAAGCCCAACAAAACACACACACACACAGCAAAAGCATCCAATAATACAAAGAAGGTGCTATCATAGTATTAATTGTCTATTTTTGGAAGAAGTTCCCGGTGCATGGTTTCCCATGACCACGGGTTACGCAAGTTACCGAGCCAAGCTGCTAGGCGCTCGCTTCACCGTTGTGCAATGGGAAAAACACTGTCTAAGTCCGGTAGGAAACTCCTATCTGATAGGAGAACCATCGCGTAATAGGACATACCCTCGGCTAACAGGAAACTCTATCTAGGAGGACAACCAGTGTCTAACAGAAAACCACTGTCGGATAGGGAAGCTACTGGTTAGTAACCAAACCCCGGCCCTGCCCAACAGGAACACCATGATCTGGTAGGAAACCATCGTCTGACAGAAATTGTCTAATAAGAGTCCCCTGTCCATGAGGAGACCCTATCTAACAATAGGACCCTTGCTAGTAAAAGCGCAGAACGAGCATTCAGTTTTTGTCCCAGTTGTAGTAGGCACTATTAGCACCAGCAGAAGCAGTATGAATGGTTGGCGCATGTAGGCGCCGCAGCAGAAGAAGAGGTAGCAGTAGCAATCGCAGTAGTGGCCGTCAGTATTCAACAGGCGCATGTTTCTTCTCCTAGCTATATACATGTGCATGCAAGTGCACAACATGGCGTCGTCAACACGAGTGGCCACAATGCACCTCCCGCACCCTTCATGCACGCGACCACCACAACTCCCAAAGTCCCAGAGTTTTTGGCTGGGAGTCAAAATGAGTCAAAACAACCTCGAAGGGACAAATGAGAACACAAGCAACTTGTACCGCCAAGTTTGGTCCTCCTACATGGCTGGAGGTTTATGCGCCAGAGTCGCTTCCGATGTCCTCATCTGCTGGAAACCGTCCCAAACTTTACATTACAACCCGCCTCTCCAGCCATGCGAAGCCTGTCTTTCCTGGGGTATACATGGAAGCCTACGGACGACGACAACGAAGACGACGACCATGCTGACGCTTTTGCGGTGCAGCACCAGATCAGTGACCTGCATCGCCGGCTCCTTACAGTACATGGTAAGGTACCGATTCCGCCATACGTCCTGTGCCCCTGGCTCCCCGCATAGCATACTCAGGTACTGTGGGCTCAACAAGAAATCACAAGCTAGGCCGCCGACATACAGCGAATGCCATCTCAATATAGACCCAGCCATCCCAGTCCTTGTAGTTTGGATCAGTCTGAAAGCCGATCATAATGCCATTGCCAATGATCAGAACAGCTACCAGAGGTTCCAAGTACATGATAGGATGCATCGGCTCTGGTGGTGCTGCAAGATCATTGATCCTTACGAAGGTCAGCTCTGCAACTAGGCGGTTGGTGTCTCCAGCAACCAGAATCTCCTTAATGGCCCTGTATTGATTGAGACCCTTTGCTCCAAAAATCCTTCTGTGCACCTCCGTCTCCTGCGCCAAGAAAATGTCGAGTAAAGGCTGTGCAGGGATCACATCGTATGTAGTGGTTCTGCGCGAAGGCTGGACGCAAACCCTCTCACCTCCACCCTTGAGGCTGAAGCTGGCACGCATGGTTGGCAGGTCTCGAGTTGCTGTTGCTGACGGCCACTGCCACTTCGGCTTTCCTAGTTTACATTCCGGAATCTCCATGACTTCTTGCGCTCCGAAGAGCATGGTGTTCATGGTGACGGAGTTTTGGCTTGGCCTTCTCTCTGGCTTCGTCACAAATTCCAGTTGGACGAAGTCCCCCAGCATATTGACGAACTCATTCATATCCTCCTCTGTGTACCGCGTTAATCCGAGCGCAGACACAGATTCTAGAAGTGCCTTGCCGGATACCAGTGTTTTGGGCGAGAGGATTCCTAAACGAAGGCGCATGCGATCTTTCACTGCTGCCACATCTTCTTCGCTTAGTCCTCGAAGTCCTGAT